AGGTTTCAATTACATCATGTATGGATGTGCTTTTGGACAGTGTTCAGCAAATGGAAAGTGCTCCATAAATGCTAGCTGTGATGGATCGAGGTGGGCTGTATCTCTTTCTGCTTTGTGTCTTTGGTGCCTGGTTGAAGTTGGTATCCAGTAGGTCTCAGTAAATGCTGGTATAAATAGATACAAAGCTAGAAGAGGTAGTGTCAGCAAGAGGACAGGTTCAGGGGATGCTGGGATTCTACCCAGGCTGTGCTGTTGGGGTCCATGGGGGAACCAGGAGTTTCAGTCTCAGGAAGCGGATGCTTCAGTGGCTTTCAAAGTTGGGATATGAGAAGGACGTTGGTTGAAAAGGGACTCTCACAGGTTAGCGATGGCTGTTGTTGACAAGGGATTCTGATGGCTACTCCCTGTGAGACCCCATTTGTTCTGGGTCCTAAACTCAAATGCCCCCCTGGGCCAGTGAAAGGAGATGCTGGGCACTGCAGCCAACAGGAGAGCACAAACCCCACCCAAAGGGCTGCCATGCCCGAAGTGGGGGCCCAGTATTACTGGATCTTCTAGTTTTTTTCAGGAAAAACTGAAAATCTGGACGTGTAAGGGGCATTTCCTGATTTTTAAAAGCTGGGAAAAGAATCAGATTATCTGAAAACACTGAATGGCCAAATAAAACACATCTGCAGGCCAGAGAAGCTGCCATTTGAAGCCCTTAGTCTAGGGCAGTGGTTCTCAGCCAGGGCGGTTTTGTCCCCCAGAGGACATTTGGCCATGTTGGAGATAATTTCTATTATCATAACTTGGGGTAGAGGTGGGGAATGGTCCTGGCATCTGGTGGTTAGAGACCAGGGATGATGAACATCTTACAATGCCCAGGATGGCCCCACCCCCATCAAAGAGCTATCTGACCCTATTAGAGTTTAACTGGCATTAGCTGCGGGCAGAAGAAAGAGGCAGGGCCGGGCCACCTGCCACCTGATTTTACAGACTTATTTGGGTCAGACAGACAGTGTTGTACCCTTTCAACCCCAAAGAACCACGGTTGCCATGGCTGAGCCCTACTTGGTCCAATGTAATTATTTTCTACAGTCCACACACTTCCTGCGCATGAAGGAAGCAGCCTGCCACCCCTGACCTCTGCAGGCATGAAAGTCATGTGAGAAATGTGGACAGAGAGTGCTAATGCATTGCCACTTGGGTCCCCAAGGGCTGGGTGTGATGGTCTGCTAGAGATTATCAGGGTTTTGGCCTCCTGTTCCTGGTGGAATGTTTGGTTTGGGTTCCTCATTCAGTAGTTTCTGAAACTGTGGTTGAGAATATTTCCCTTCTCAACCAGCCCCAACCATAGAAAAATAAAATTCCTTTGAGTCCTGTGCAGTGTAGTAACTATTTGCTGAGTACTCACTCTCTGGCCAGCCGTGCTTGGTGCTGAGAGGGAGGTGAGCAGAGACTCACTCAGGCAGGTTCCCTCTGGTGACTTCCTGTGCCGTTGAGGAAACACAGGCACCAGGCCTCCAGCTCCTCCCCGTCCAGTCTACCCTGTCTTCTTCTTCTACACCCTCTCTTCATCTTCCTGAGGAAGCACATCTCTGATCACAGCCTTCAGAGGCTCCCAGTTCCACTCCGCATGAAACCTGCACTCCACAGCCTGTGTTGACCCAGCTCCGTTTCCAGCTCATCTTCTGCTCTCCCGTTGCTGTGCTTCTCTCTTTGCAAACCAAGCTTTTCCCTGGTGCCAGTCTCTATGCCTTTGCTCCGGCTGCACCCCCTTCCTCAAATACCGTCTCTGTCCTTTCACACAAGGTGAGGTGGCTCTGGTGGTTGTCCCTGTATCCTCTTCATCACTTCATCCCACATCACCTCATCTGTCACTCACTCCTGCCTTAGAATTATTTGGTTCTTGACTCTCAATCCTGCCAAACTAGGAGATTCTTAAGGGACAACTTAATAAAAAAATTCAACTCTTGTTTCCTTTTCTGAGCGACTTCCTAGCTTTGTCCCTGGCGTCAGTGGATGTCAGTTCAGCATGCACTGTTTCCCAAGCTCTTCATCGATGCCAAGTGCTGCCATATGTGTTACCGCTTTTCATCCTCACAGGGACTCTGAGACATCATCCCACTTTTACAGATAAGGAAACTAAGGCTTAGAGGAACTGTCCCTTCATCTGTTCATAGATTTATTCACTAGGAGGCAGGCTTTGGGTTCAGTTCAACCAGTTTCTCAGGGAGTCCTTAAGGAACCAATATTCTTTTGTTCTGCCACTCAAGGCTACTGATAACAATTGGGGCTCCATGGTTATTTTGCTGGCACTCATTGGAAAAGCTAAAACCTTCCTCTTAATCATCTGAGTCCTTCTCTTCTATCTAGGTAAGTCACATACCCCTGGGCTAACAACATACCAGAATGTGTTATCTCAAGTTGGGATGAGGTCATGTCCTTGGAAGAACTCAGCTGGAGGGCTGAATGCAGGGCCAAAATTCATAGCTCTGTTAGGAAGCAGGAAGGGCAGGAATGGATGCTGGGGAAGGAACCAGCATCACCTGCTACTGAGAGCAAAGTATTAGGCAGTTAGAAGGAAGGCGGCAATGACAGATTGGATTAAGGAGGAGGGATTTTTTTTTATTTTTTTTTTTTGTCAAAACTCCAGATTTTCCAGTTGCCACGCCTGGGAATATATTGTCCCATTGACCAAATTCAAGGAGATGGAGGAAAGTTCAGGAGTTTGCTTTTGGTTAATTGAGTTTGATGTGATGAGGGAACATCCAGACTGTACTGTTTTGCAACAGTTGAAGATACAGGTCTCTGAGCTTGGGCTCAGGGTCATGCAGGGCAGAGCCCAGGAGAGAGGACCATGGAGATGGTAGACATGGCTGCTAATCTCTGAGAAGTGGGAGGTGGAGTCAGTAGTGTGTGGGGAGCTGGCTGGGGCAGAGGCTGAGAAGGCAAGGCTGGTGGGAGTTTTGAAGGCAGGACTCTTCCCAGCAGAGCTGCTTCTAGGAATTTATCTGACAGGGTGCACAGTGATAGAGTACGAGGATGTTCACTGCATCATTGTTTGAAATATTAGGGGACTAGATACAACCTAAATGCCTGTCACTATGCAGCTGGTTAATTAATTGATACATCTGGTATATGGAACCCCAAGCAGCTGTCAAAAAAGGAGGATGCAAGAGCTACATAGGCTATGAAGGAAGAATCTCTCAGGTATATTGTTAGGTAGAAAAAGCAAGATGCAAAGGTGTTTAAAAAAGAACATACGCTATCCAAATGCATGCTTGTGTATCCGTAGCCTGTTTCTGGGAGGTATCAGAAGAAACTTTGAATAGCAGTTGACTCTGGGCAGGCGTCTGGGAGCCTGAGAGACTTACTCTTCTCTTTTACTTTGCTGGCTGTTAGGGTCCTTTAACCACATGCACTTAGTACCTTCAAAAAGTGAGATCATAAAAATAAAGACAGAAGAAACTGGGTCTTGGATGTCAGAGATATTGGTAAGACTGAGCACGGAGAGGAGCCACTGTGGATGTCAGAGTACAGGGTCAGCAGTGGGGCAAACATCAGGGGGCTGGGCCACAGGAGAAACTGAGGCACAGACTGAGAATCAGGGAGAATAAGAGAAAATGGGGGTAACTAATTGGGTTCATCACACACTATGTAGATGCAAGGGATGGCGCTGAAGGCTCCCTGCGAGCTCTGCACAGACAGTTCTGCTGAGACTCTGCTGTGCTGTTGGATTGGGTCCCTTCTCTTTAGTCACCAGAACTGGAGTGAGGTCTGAGCAGATCCCTGGAATTGCCCCAGAGCTTTTGCTGTCTGTTACGAGATCTGGTAAATGCAGGGGCTGCCTGCAGACAAGTGACTCTTGGCAAGTCTAGGCCCAGAAACTGAGAGAAAGGCTGTGGGTGAGAAGAAGGAGGCTGATACTGAGCCCTCCCCAGCTACCACTGAGCCCAGGGCCTGCTGACCTGCGCAGGGCGGGGCAGAGGAAGGCTGGTCTCTGCCCATCAGCTGCTGGTCATGCTTGAGGCTGAGGGAGCTGAAAGGGAGAGCAGGATGACTCAGCTGTCAGGGAGCAGAGACCAGGGCTCCTATTTTCAATACGGAAACTTCACATGATGGTCCAAGCAAACAGGGGGAGTAATAATAATAATAATAATAATAATATTAATAAGTAACAGAATCCTAGACTCTTTAGGCTGGATGGAACCTGGAGATAATTTGTTTGTTATTTTCTAAATTGTGTCCCTCAATATACTGAACATGTATGTAACTGCGAAAAAGGATTGAGGTCAACTAAATTACACACTACAGCCCCCTTCACATACAGTCCATGCATGTGAGGGTACAAAAGCCTCTGAAAAATTCTGCAGTAAGAAAAACCTGTCTCACTTTAACTAGCTTTTCCCAAATGTATTTGGTCACAGAAGCTCCCATCCCTTTTATAGTGTGGCACCCCCCCCACCTCCCAGCATGCTTTGGGAAGTGTTTCTTTTAAATTTTTTATTTTATAACGTGGTAACTAAGTCTCCAAGGCCACATGGCCAGTTGGTGATACAGCGGAGGCCAGAACCTCCGTGTTCTGCCAGTGATCCAGAGGGCTGTCTTTTTACCTGCCCTGCTCTGATGGATTGAGATGCTACATCATTCTTTCTCAGACTGTGTTCTGTGGAATCCCACCCATGAAATGTTAATGAGTATTGAACTAGGGACATACATTCTGGTCACATAAACATAGGACACACAGAATTAAAGAAAGATGGCTGTGGGGTTTCTCAGAATCTTTAATATGGTAATATCTCTGTGAATCACCAAGCAGGGTTCCCCAACTTACATGGCCAGGGAAGACTTTGTTTTGTGGATACAAGTTGAGGAATTCAAGTCTAGATCAATGAGTTTTATGTTGATTTCTGCAGCCCCTGCCCAGAGCATTCCTGCCCTTACCGTGTTGAAAAGGAAATTTAAAGCCAACAGTTACCTTCTCCCCCTCTGACATGTGCTCTTTCACATTCCAGAGCAAGGAGATTGGCCTGCAGATGCACGAGGAGCTCCTGAAGGTCACCAACGAGCTCTACACAGTAAGTCCTGCTCAGCTCTGCTGCCATGAGATCGGGCCCCTTTCCTCAGTTCCCAGGGCTGGAGGGAGGCTAACCACGAGTCTGGGAGGACCCTGAGCCTTTTTTACGATGTGCCCAAGGGACAGGGGGTCATTATGGTGGGAGGCAGTGATTCAAAACCCCAGCTTCTCATTCTGTACATCTGGGGTGGGGCCCTGGACATGTTTACTTAGTAAAAGTTCCAGCTGTGGGAATGTGTTACCTACCAAAGCAGAAGGCACAGAGTTGGGGTGGGGGAGCATGGACACAAAGCTCCTGAGGAAGGAGTGTGGGTTTGGAGTCAGGTAGGACAGGCTAAAGTCGAGGCCTGCTCCTTGCTGACCGTGGGACCTTCGGCACCCATGTAGCTCATGTGGGCTCAGTATTCTTATCTGCAAAATGAAGCACTGCTCTGAGGCTCACATGCGGTGAGGGGGATGAGCATGCCTTGCCATCTCCAGGAAATAATTTCAGAACATCACAGTTTGGCCAAGAATTGACCTTGCTATCTGCGTGGAGGCAAAATCTAACTGGACTTAGGATGAGTGTTAGGATCCAAGAAGGCGAGTGGATGGGGGAACACAAACACACAGGTCAGAGTGCAGGAATTTATTTGGTAGATAGTGCAGCAGGATTTCAAACCCAGATTTGTCTGTAATCAGATTTGTTTGCTCTGTTGGGAATCTCCATTGCCTCTCCTGCTGAGAATTCCCTTTCTCTTCCTCTCTTCCCCTCTGCTTTTTGAATTCTTTCCCATCCAAAGGCACCAAGCTCAAACTCACTCTTGATCACAGAAGCTCACCTGGAGCCATCACTTTTCTGAACTCTTAACTAATCTCTCATGCACATGCACACTCTTCCTCTCATTTCTTCACTCACCAAATAAGTATTGATCGCCGGCTATATGCCAGCACTGCTAGCTGGAGGCTCTGGACACACTGTGGAGAACATGGTGCAGCCTCCACAGGCTCACGGTCTAGACACCCTCCCTCCCAGGCCACATATCCAGCACACACTCTGCTCTGTTTGGGGCTACTGTATCATCCTTTCACATGCTTTACTCTTGTCTCCCTGCCCAGACTCTAAACTCCTTGTGGGCAAAACCAGTTTCTTTCATTTATTCATATACCCCTCCCTCCCTTCTCTGCTTCAGTAAGCACCCTGGGAAGACCAGGGATGTATAAGACACTTCAAAGACCAACTCTTGAAATGTTCACAGCCTGCCACTGTGCCTCTTACAGCACTGGGTCCACAGCAGGCAGCTGCATGTGCTTAAAATGAATTTCTGGGCAACTACTGAAGACTCAGTGTGCAGTCAGCAAATGACCTAGGGAGGGGTTTGCTGTTGGCATCCCAGTGCTCTCACTCTGTTGGCAGCTACAACAAAAATGGCACCAGGTGTTAGACCAGTGGGGTCAGATGGGGCCTTAGTTCAGTAATCTTGGTACTTGAGTTCTGGCTCAGAAAGAATTCAGAACCAAGATTCAAACTATAAGAGAAAATTTATTTAGAAAGTCACAGAGGTAGAAGAGTGGGTGGTAGAAGAAATGGGCTCAGGAAACAAGTTACAGCATCAAAAGAAGGGCCCTTGGAGTTTAAGAGAGAGAAGGGTAAAGGTAATGTACCTGGGAGGCGGGGGTTAGGAGGAGTGGAGGGGGAGGGGAAAGGCCCAGGTGTGCTAGGGTACAGATTTCAGGGGAGTTCCCAGGGGAGGATCTCAATAGAATATTTATCAGCTTTCCAGGTGTGTTCTTTCTGGATTGTGGTCTCCACGGATTGGTTGGCGCCAGGGGGTCTTTAGTCAATACAGCTGGTCCAGAGGTCAGCGTGTTGTCTCTGGTCTGGTTTTGCTGCTTTTCTGGTTTTGCAGCTTTTCTGGGCCTGGAGCTGAAACACAGCAGAGGCCTAGATGTATTTGATGCAGGTCAGAACCTCATTGTCCTGGGGGCTTAATGCTTAAGGGCTATTCCCTGGCCCCCTTGTTTGTACCCTCTCTAAGGGGGCCTAACCCACATGACTAGCAACATGCCAGGGGAGGAAAGGTCAGGGGAGGGTCTGAATCTCATGATCAGCAATATGCTAGGGTAGGGAAGTCACCCTGGAGACGAGGTTCTTGTTTTCCCAGTTTTGCCTTGGTGACCTCTGTACCTGGCCCATTGTCCTTGCTCTGCTCATGCCTGTCTAACTGCCTACCACAACTCTTCTGCAGCAAGCAGCACCCCAAAATACTCACCAGATCAAAGGCAATAGAACAGTACCTCCTCTATTTTATCCCATTTCCTCCCTCAGTTTCCTTCCTTCCTTCCTTCCTTCCTTCCTTCCTCCCTCCCTCCTCTCCTCTCCTCTCCTCTCCTCTCCTCTCTCCTCTCCTCTCCTCTCCTCTCCTCTCCTCTCCTTTTCTTTTCCTTCCTTCCTCCCCTCTTCTTTCCTTCCTTTCTCTCTCTCTCTCTCTCTCTCTCTCTCTCTCTCTCTCTCCCCCTCCCTCCCTTCCTCCCTCCCTCCTTTCCTCCTCCTTTCTTACCATCTGTCTGTCTACACATCTATCCATTCATCCATCCATCATCCACCCATCCATCTACCTGTGGAAATCAGCCTGTCTCCCTCCTTTGGTTTTGTTTTCCTCTGTTCTGCTTTCATGATCAGGCAGGTTTCTCCTATTGGTCACAAAGATGGTCTCCCCACCCAGCCCCACTGTAAGTTCATTTTCTATCAGCTTAGCGCCCCCTAGTGGAAAGAGAAGTGCCCTTTCCCGTGTGTCCAGCAAAGCCCAGGGCTGTCTCTTATTGGCCTGGCTGGAATCATGAGGTCTAATCACTGTGGCCAGGTTAACATAATGTTACTAATTGGCCAGGCCTGGGTCTCATGCTCACCCTCAGGTGGAGTCTGGTTTTACTTTCCCATCAACCACCACATGGACTGAAGGTGGGGAGGGGAATTGGGGGGATTTCCTTAAAGAAAATCAGGGAGCTGTTCTAAAAGAAGGAGGACTAGATGATCCTAGGCAGATGTCCACTGAGGAGTCGCTGGGGGAGAATAAGGAAGTAGCTGCATTGGCTAGTGCTCAAACAAACCTCTGCTCCTCAAACTTATTGGCTCCTGCTGCTTCTGGGCTTAATGCTCACACTGCTCCCTTTGTCTAGAATATTCCACCCCACCCCCACTCCATGCCCTTTTCACCCAGCTAACAGCTACTCTTCCTCAAGGTTCAGTTTAGATGTCACTTCCTCCAGGAAGCCTTCCTTTAATGCCCTGTACTTCCCTCATCGTAGTACTTAACATACCATGTGATAATCACGTACATCATTGTATCCCTACTAGAGGGTGTGTTCTGTGAGGGCAGAGACCCTATCTGTCTTTCACACTGTGGTATTTCCTAGTATAGTACCTAGCACATAATAACCTGTTCAATAAAAATGTGATTATTAAAGGTATAGCTATGCCCCACCCGAATTATATTTACCAGATTAAAGGCAGTAAAACTATACCTCCCCTATTTTATTCTCCCTCCTCTCCTCTCTCCCTCCCTTCTATTCACATATCCATTATTTTACCCACCTACTTATCCATCTACCCACCATCCATCCACCCACCTATCTATCTATCTATCTATCCATCCATTCATCTATCCATCTACCCATCCACCTATCCATCTATTCAGCCAGCCAACTCTTATTCATTCATTCTGGGTATCCGTCTCCACTTTAATATAATGAATATGATCATAAATGGGGTTCTGGCCCTCCTGGACTTTAACTTTAGCAGGGGGGTTCTGGCCCTCCTGGACTTTAACTTTAGCAGGGATGTTTATAAACATGTAAAACGAATAAATAAAATAGTGATGGTCAGACTGAAATTTAGGGACTTCTCTTTTCTTTCAAGGGTGTCTTTGACATGCGTTAGCTCAGGGTCTCCCCCACACAACTCTAGGATAACCCAGGGATGGCCCTGGGGTATAGGAAGCACACCTGCACTACACCATTGGAAACCTGTTTTCTAACAACTGATCCTTATCCTGTCCCAGCGTGTCCCTTTATTGATACTGTCAACTTCCAGGTCGTCTTTGCCTTTGTTTGCATGTAAAAGAGCATCGGAGGGGCTGTGCAGATAATACTTTCCTGTTTTCATGATCTGAGGCTTTGGGAAGATGTCAAAGGCAAAGTGCACACAGCAGAAGGCAGTGTGATTACCAGAAAAGACAATGCCCACTGCTAAGAAGGCCTGACTGTCCACCTTGCTATCTGACTTTGAACAGCACACTAGCTATTTCTGGGCTTTAGTGTCCTTCCATGAGGGGTTAATTCACCAAGATTTCTGAGGGGCCTTCCAAGCACCTATGAAACTAATCTGGGTCCAAGAACAGTGGTCTCCGCTTCCATATTCCTACGCTGTGCATCTCAGCCTTGTTCTGAGGCCCCCCTTCTGATAGGGTCCGAGGGCAGGACAGGAACCCCCATCTGGCATGAAGCTGGGTGTGTGCCTCTGAGGGGCCCTTTAGCGATCCCAGGTTGGAGACTGGGCCTTGGCTAAAGGCCTGCTCCCTTCCCAGCCCAGCACTGCTGTCAGCCAGTCACTTTACAGTCGTACTTTTTGAAGCATCTTCCTACCTACCTCCCATCTGGTCTTCGCCAGGTAGCACAGAGAGGACAAGCCTCTGCCACGGTCACCCAGCAGTGGTGGGAGCGTTGAGTCTCAAAGCCGGGCCTCCGGGGTCCCTGTGGGGTAGAGGATCCTTCATCCCTATTTTGTGGTTTCCTCTTCTATAAAGCAGGGATTACATGGTACCCACCTCATAGGGTGTTGTTGTTTTATTTTATGAGAAATAAATGAGTTGCTATATATAAAAACCTGGTAGGTAGTAAGTGCTCAGTAAATGTCAGCTGTGATTGTTATTGTTATCACATTGCCTCCCAGGATTTGGGATAAGGATGAACTGAAATGCTCCTTGGAGATAATAAAAGCAGAGGTTTGCAAACTCTGAAGTTTAAATATTAGTTAACATATCCTAGACTGGCAATATTGAGCAGACTATTCTAGGCTATTCAGCTAAGGACCTTTCATGCTGACTCCTATGTTTCAGTTTATCTAGAGCAGTGGTTCTCAACCTTCCTAATGCCGTGACCCTTTAATACAGTTCCTCATGTTGTGGTGACACCCAACCATAAAATTATTTTCGTTGCTACTTCATAACTGTAATTTTGCTACTGTTATGAATCGTAATGTAAATATCTGGTATGCAGGATGTATTTTCATTGTTACAAATTGAACATAATTAAAGCATAGTGATGAATCACAAAAACAATATGTAATTATATATGTGTTTTCCGATGGTCTTAGGCGACCCCTGTGAAAGGGTGGTTCGACCCCCAAAGGGGTCGCGACCCACAGGTGGAGAACCGCTGATCTAGAGGATTCTGGGTATAAGTACTTAGGCCCGTTTCAGAGATGTCCCCAGGTGAACTTTTTTGTGGCAGCTGTTGGACATAAGTCACCCGGGCCATCCAGTTCCCTGATATTCTTGGGATCAGGCATTACCAATTGGACCACATAGCATGTGGCTCCAGCATTGTCAGGGCTGTGCTCTCCAAACATGGGGTTTTGGGAATGCAGTTCAAAGACTGCACTGGGAAGCTTGGCTTGTTGAAGAGCGGAAAGAGTGCTCTATGGTCCAAGAAGAGTAGAAAACTGGGCAAAGGAAAATGTGAGAAACTGAGAACACCCTGCTGGGGTGCTGACCCTGTAACCGGACAATCAAAGGGTCTGGGCTTAAGCCAGTTTAGCAGAGACAGGGTTGAATCATATATGAGCATTTATTCCAATACTGCCAGCAGTATGGGAGAGCAGCAGGTCACCCACAAAAATCTGCTCTGGGAAGTAGGCAAAAAGGTATGTCAAATGGGCAGTTTACAGGTAATGCGGCCTGGAGACTTGCAAAGGCCTACAGGTATGCAAAGGCTGGGGGTCTTCAAAGGGCTGGCAGCTCTGGTTTCTGCATTAAGGTTATCTTTCGATGATAATAGGCAGCTCCCAGATGGGGAGGATGGGTCACATTTCCAGGTGAGCTCCAGGTCCCACGTGCAACTCCCAGCCAGGTTAGAATGTGCCTTCTTTAATCAGAACAAAACAATCATGGTTAACAGAGTATGATTAATATTTCTTATAATTATAGCCGGTCCCCAATATTCTATTTCTGCCCCTCTCAACCCGAGTGAGTAGATGGATGCATGCATGGATGATTGCACAGGAAGATCTAGCTGCAAATAGAAATGCGCTCTCTTCCTCTGCACTACCTAACACAGATGACAGATTTAGTGCTGAAATAAGCAGACCTCAGCAGTTGAAGTAGAAAAAAAATGGATGTAGCAGGAAGGATTGAACCCAGAAAGGGAGGAGTCCAGAAATGAACATCACCAGAAGCATGGCAGAAAAGCAAAGAAAGCAGTGGTATCTGTGAATGTGGAGGGATAGAGGAAGATTCAAGAATGGGAAAGGCAGGGTCCTGGAGACAGACTGGAGCAGGCATTACCAACTCTTAGCTGCATCACGTTCCTGGAGCCATTGCACAAAGGAGGTGGTTAAAAATAGCCAACTGCCTTGGTTATCCACAAGCCTGCAGCCCTTCCTTTTGGCCACTAGATGTCAAGAATGCACCAATCCAGCACCCTTTCTGGCCCCTTGAGTTTGGAAATAGGCTGAGTGGAAATGAGTGGGTGAAATCAGCAAGATGGGGATCTCTAGAGGTTTTAGGGCAACTGCAAATATGCAAAAATAAAATAAAATAAATAAAATAAGATTGGGTAGAATGCAGACAAGCGGTCTTCTCACCAAGACCTGCAAAGAAAATTGATTGCATTTTTTATCCATTTATTTTTTTGAAATTTGGGGAGGTTTTCCCGCGGGCCGTACTTTGCCCACGGCTGGTATAGAATATATATTTTTTCACAATAGTAGATGTTCTGTAGAATTTGCAAACATTTTCCTGAAGTCAAGTGAGTTTAAGGTTCTGAAACCCTCAGCCTAAACAGGGAGGATGGTGATCATGGTGATGGGGGCAGCTGATGCTCTTAACCCTGCAGCAGGTAATGTTCTCAGCACTTTACAAAAACTGACTCCTTAAGTCCTCACAACAAACCTGGAGGTAGGTGCTATTATCCTCATTTTACAGATGAGGAGGGAGAGGTCAGAGAGGGGAGGACTTGCCCAAAGTCACACAGCTTGTAAATGGCAGCCTCAGGATTCAGCCCAGACATTTGGGCCCAGAGTCCGTATGTTTACCCACCATGTTGTACCATAGATGTTGCCCCTATTGACTCCTGACCTCTGGCAAAGGGAACTTTCTGAACCACAGATCAATGCTGTGACTTAATGGTGAGAGTCACAGAAGAAATCCTCATTCTAATAAACTTACCTCACAAGACTTTAAATGAGAATAAATAAGGTTATAATGTTGGCCAGTATTTCATTCCAAGTTCCCTGACTTTGAAGGGCTTGGCTAGGCAGGAGTACACCCCATGACCTCATAGAAGCCTCTGCTCTATTAGCTGCTGTAATTATCCAAAGGACAGAGAGAATAAACAAGGCCCAGGAGCCATGGATTCCAGAAATTTCTTAGCATAGAAAGATGATCATAAACTTGATATTGCAAAGGAAAAATATACTTTTAGTTGGGGACCAAGAGACAGGATATTGCTTAAAGGCTGCCAAGAGTATTCAATTGATGAGAAAATTGGAATAAATTAAGGAAACAGTATGATATGTTAGAAACATGGTGGATTAAAAGTCAGAGACAGAGATTTCTAATTTGGCTAAATATACACTTACCATATGACTCACCACTCCACTCCTAGATATTTACCTAAGGGAAATGAAAACATATGTCCACGCAAAGAATTATACAGGAACATTCATAGCAGCTTTACAACACTGTAAACAATACATATAACTATCAACATCCAAATAGATAATCAGACCTCACCAGTGGATCAGTGGTTAGAGCATTGGCCTGCACATTGAAGGGTAAAGGATTCAATTCCCAGTCAAGGGCACATATCTGGGTTGCAGGTTTGATCCGCAGCCCTTCAGGCATGTGCAGGAGGCAACCAATCAATCTCTCTCTCTCACATCAATGATTCTCTCCCTCCTTCCCTCCTTCCCTCCTTCCCTCCCTTACACTCTCTCTAAAAATCGATGGAAAAAATATCCTTGAGTGAGGATGAACAAACAAACAAAAATAGATAAACAAATTGTGGTATAGCCATACAATGATACATGCAACAAATAGGAGAATCTAAAAAAATTACGCTGAGTGAAAGAGGGTAGACCCAAAAGGGTTTATACTCTATGGTTCCATATAAATGAAATTCTACAGTGATAGAAAGCGAGTCAGTGATTGCCTGGGTCTGGGGTAGGGGTGGGGAAGGACTGTGTAGGGGCACCAGGCTCTTTCAGGTGTAATGGAAGTGCTCTATATCTTGATTGTGGGCTTGGCCACATGGATGTAAAGTCTAGAGACTATGCTGATACTACTGCTGATCTTGGAGGACCTCCTGGGCCTCAGTTTCCCTATTTATAAAATTTGGTAGTCAGATTAGATGACATCTAGGATTTCCTCTGACTCAAAAATCCCTTTGTTATAACAACATCCAACTTTTGTTATGGATGCAGAGTAGCAAAGGGCAATATGCTTTACAGGAATTCATTTTATAGTCAAGGATGAGTTTAGTTCAGAGAGCATAGAATATGCATTCAGATGTATTGTTACCCAATAGTACTCCTTTTGGGAACAGTCATTTGTAGGCCAATTTTTCTTAATGAAACAGCTGAGAAAATAATTTGCTTGTGAGTAAGAAGGATGTTCCCATGGAAGCTCCAAGAGTACTGTAGGAGGAGCTTTCCCAGTGACACGAGAATTATGGTTGGGAGGCTAGAGAGAGCAGCAACTTTGCCATATCACCTCTGAGACCCCAAATGCTTGGGGACTGTGGTTGCCCTTTTAAATTTTCTCTTTGCTAGTCCATTCTTGGCACTTAGTAAGGACTTAATGATGGTGATGGTGATGATGATGATGATGATGATGATGATAACTATGATCATCATCTCCAGTCCTCCGAGAGTTGTTGCAGAAGTAAAGAGCTGTGGGAGCTCAGAGTGTGTCGCGGGAAGAGGCGGGAAGAGGGAGGGCTGAGCAGACTGGAGCGCAGAACTTAGGGGGCCGAGAGCACCAGAGCCACTCAGGCTGGGCCCTAACAGCCTGCTGATTCCTGCACTTGTGTGTCCCCAGGTCATGAAAACCTACCACATGTACCACGCGGAGAGCATCAGTGCGGAGAGCAAGCTGAAGGAGGCTGAGAAGCAGGAGGAGAAGCAGTTCAACAAGGCAGGAGAGCTCAGCATGAACCTGCTCCGGCACGACGACCGGCCCCAGCGCCGCAGCTCTGTGAAGAAGATTGAGAAGATGAAGGAGAAGGCAAGTGAGGGCCCTGGGGGCCATGCTCTCTGACAGCTTTGGCCTCCCCCTCTGCACCCTGGGGGTTGTGAGGGTAGAATAATGCTGCCCGCATCTGCCCTCTTGGAGGTCAGTGTCATGGAGGAGGCAGGTCTGGCTTGTGCCAGGGTCAGCAGGTGGAAGAGGTCTTCAGCTGACAAGAGAGCTGAACTGTGATGAGACTCATAGCCCGGAGCACAGGCATTCGTGAGGGGTGGGGGCTTGCTCTGGGGGTCAGTTAGGTGTCTGGGGACTGGTTGGGACTGAGTGTGTCCCAACAAGAGGGAACAGCACTGGGCTGCCAACCACCACTGGGAACTTGGGAAAGAACCATTCCAGTATTGCCATTGCCAAAGCAGAGGCAGGTGATTGGAATGGCTGTGTATCAGTGCTGGAAAGTGCCTCAGGAGGACATGGTGAGAGGAGTACTGGTTCTGGAGTCAGATAGACTGGGTTTTGAAAATGCCACAACTATTACACCTCTGAACTTCAGTTTTAAATCTGACAGTGATGGCAGATAATTCTCCTCTCTCAGTCAACTCTGATGGATTGGTAGTGGCTGCCCAAGGCTCTGTGTTGAGGATCATGAGCTCTCTCCTGGCTTTAGCTGAAAATGGTGCTGTGATCAATTAATAATGTCTGCCATGGCCAGAATATAGAGGGGCAGTGCACAGGTTGCTTTTCTGTCATCCTAGACTAGGCAACTTCTAAGGTTCATTTCTTCTTGAAAGACTACGATTTCTTGTTGAGTCTTCTGCATCCATTCATTCTATGGAATCAACAAACATTTCCTGAGCTCTATGTGCCAAACATTGTGCCAGATGTTTATTTGGGCTTCAGTGAGATGAATTTTATGATGATATGATCCTACAGCTCTTAAAAATTATAGGAAATAGAGTGGGAACAAGATCCAACAGGACCTACGTAAGCAGGAAAAGTAATCAGAGGCAAATAAAATAAGACTTCAGGGTAATTGCTAAAGGCAAAGAAAAATGGGCTCCACAATAATTAGGCAGAGACTCAATTAAAAAATGGGCAAAGTATTTGAATAGACATTTCTCCAAAGAACATGTATGAGTGGTCAGTAAGTACATGAAAAGATGCTTGGCATCATTAGTCATTAAGGACGTGCAAAGCCAAACCACAGTGAGACCACTTCATGGCCATTAGGATGGCTAAAATAAAAAGACAGACAATGACAAACATTGATGAGGATGTGGAGAAAGTGGAACCCGTGGACACTGCTGGCGGGAAGGTAACGTGATTCAGCCACTTTGGAGAAGGTTTTGGCAATCCCACAAAGTTTTAAACATAGACTAAGTTACCATATGACTTAACAATTCTGCTCCTAAGTATCACTCAAGAGAAATGTAAGCATATGTCCACACAAAAACTTGCACATGAATGTTCATTGAAACCTTATTCATAATAGCTCCAAAGTGGCAACAACCCAGATGTCTGTCAACTGATGAATGGATGAATAAAATGTGACCTGTCCACACAACAGAATATTATTTAGTCATAAAAAGGAATGGAGTACTGATTCATGCTACCGCATAGATGAATTTTGGAAACAGTGAAATAAGCCAATCACAAGAGGCCACATATGTAGGATTCTATTTATATTAAATGTCCAGAAGAGATAAATCCATAGAGATAGGAAGTAGATTAGTGGTTGTCAGGGGCTGGGGCAGAGGAGAATAGGGAGTGACTGCTAATGGGTACAGGATTTCTTTTTGGGGTGATGAAAACATTCTAAATTTAGATAGTGGTGATGGTTATATAACTCTGTGAATATACTAAAAACAAAGAAATATTTAGCACAACTGATGTGGCTCAGTGGTCGAGTGTCAACCTATGAACCAGGAGGTCACAATTCAATTCCCGGTCAGAGCACACGCCTGGGTTGTGGGCTTGATCCTCATTGAGGGGCGTACAGGAGGCAGCCAATCAATGATTCTCTCTCATCATTAATGTTTCTATCACTCTCTCCCTTTCCCTTCCTCTCTGAAATCAATAAAAAATGTATATAAAAAAAGAAATATTTTAAAAAAGATAACCAGGCAGGGAATTACAGAACAACATGGGGGGATATGTAAGGGGGTAGAGAGAATACTGGCTGGGAGTCTGGAGACTAATGTTTTGTTCAGAGTTGTATGTAAATTAGCCATTTGGCCCTTGGAAAAGCTACTTCTCCCCTTTAGTTATCTTTTCACTTATAAAATGGATGAATTACACTAAAATACCTTTACTATACTTCCAAGGTATAAACTTTTATGAGTCCATAAAGGGCTAAAAATGGTCTCAGGGTCAGAGTAGTCCCCTGCAAACTGGTCAGGGTTATCAAAACTCTCTGTGAGGGCTGGATGCATGGCTGGTACAGGAGGTAATTACCTGAAGTCTGTTTTTGGAAATTCCCAGAATAAGTGGACCCTGGAGAAAGAAAGGTCAGAGGGGATCTCTGGGGACACCTCTAGTAAGAAGCTAGGTCTAGATGAAGGAGGAAACTCTAAGGAGAGCTGTATTTTTACCCAGCAGTGGGACTCATGAGCTGTATTTTTACCCAGCAGTGGGACTCATTAGTCTGAAAGGAGTAAGGGGATAGCTCTCCAACCCATGAACTCTGCTCGGCAGTCGGACTCCTCGCCATCACTGCCCCTGGGCTGCCTGCTCTGCCTCCTCCTCCCACATCCAGACAGCCCATGAAAACCACGGAATGACTGCCTTTTGCAGGGACTGGTCTGGGTGTTACAGGTCCAGAGCTGAGCAAGGCAGAAAGTCCCTGACTTCACAGGGCCTACTTTCTAGTGGGGGGTCTGAAAATCAGCAAGTACACAAAGAAGTAAAAAATATAATTTTGGGCGGTAAGAAGTGCTTTTGAAGAAATCAAGATGTCCTTCAGTAGGTGAATGGATAAATAAACTGTGGTAAATCCAAACAATGGAATGTTGACTAAATATTCAAGATCCAAAAAGAAATGAACTAGCAAGCCATGAAAAGACATAGAGGAACCTTAAAGTGCCTATGATTAAGTGAAAGAAGCCAATTTGAAAACAGTACATACTGTATGAGTCCAACCATATGACATTCTGGAAAAGGCAAAATGATGGAGACAAGGAAAGTTAAGAGGTTGCCAGGGGTTGGAGGGAGGGAAGGATGAAAAGGCAGAACACAGCAGGTTTTTAGGGCAGGGAAACGAATCTGTGTGCTACTATAATGGTGTCCAAACCCATAGAATACAGACACCAAGAGTGAAGCCCAGGGCAAACTGTGGACTCTGGGTGATAATTAGTGAATGTGCTGTTCTGGTGGGGGTTGTTGATAATGGATGAGGTTGTGTGTGTGTGTGGGGGGCAGAGGCATATGGAAAGTCTCTGCACCGATCTTCTTAATTTTGCTATAGACTAAAACTGCTATAAAATAATGTCTTAAAAATGGAATAAAGATTAAATAAACGAAAAAAATTGAAAAGGGCAAAATGATAGAGGATGAAGGGAGGGACAGTGGAGATGCTGGCAACATTTTAGACAAGGCTGCCGTCAGAGTCTGAGCTGACCATTTTGTCAATCCCACAAAATGTTCAACATAGACCTTGGGTAAGGACCTGAAGGACATGAAGGACCAGATCACACGGAGACTTGGAAGCATGGCCTGCCAGGCAGGGAGAACAATTAGTCTGAAGGCCTAGAGGCAGGAATGAAGTTGGCCTCTGAAAGGATGGGCAGAGAAAGCTGGCGATGAGGGAGAGCCTAGAGGAAGAGGGGCTTGGGACATCACGGGGCCATCGCAGTACTTTGGTCAGCCATTGGGGGCTGGTGAATAGGCCTCAGGAGGTCTTATTAACAAGCTCTGGTGGAGGCCAGTAACAGGCAGCTGCTTATTGAATAGTGCTGTCATTGGCTATATGTGGGCAATGGAAGGTGAGCTTTTTGAGTACAGAGCCCAAATCTTACTCAGCTGGCATATGGAGTAAGGTATTCCAGAGGGGTACAGTGCATTTAATCACCGGAGTGACCATTAAGAAAACCCCAGCCCTGGCTTCTGTGGATCAGTGGTTAGGGCACCACTGTGCACCCAAGGGTCACGGGTTCGATTCCCAGACAAGGATACATACCTGGGTTGCAGGTCCGATCCCTGGCCTGGTCAGAGCATGTGCAGGAGGCAGCTAGTTGATGTGTCTCTCTCACATTGATGTTTCTTTCTCTCCTCCCCTCCCTCCCTCCTTACCACTCTCTCTAAAAATCAATGTGTTTTTTTTAATATCATTCATTGAAGATTAACAAAACAACAACAACAACAACAAAAAACCCCTAAATCCCTGCCATTAGTGGCTCAGCTCTCACACCTACTCTTTTCTTCTTCCAGAGGCAGGCAAAGTATTCTGAGAACAAGCTGAAGTGCACGAAGGCCCGGAATGACTACTTGCTGAATCTGGCTGCCACCAACGCAGCTATAAGCAAATACTACATCCACGATGTCTCCGACCTGATCGATGTGAGCACCTGGCGTCTGGGACTGGAAGGGCCCCACACCGGGCTGGTGCAGATCATCAGCTGAAGGAGGGGCTGGCCCCTGTCCTTCGCTGACGGTCCAGGGTGGAGGGGAAGGGCAGTGAGCGTGTGGGGTCTGGGAAATGAGTTTCCACTTCTGTGGGTGGGAGTGGGCCTGTTGCAGCCCCTACAGAGTTGGGTCGGGCAGTCATATTCAGCGTGCACTTACCAAGTACACTCTACTAGCCCAGGCCCTTGGCTGGGTTTGGGGATACGGGAGTGGTTGTCTACAGCCCTAGGGATTTCCCTGTGTGGTACAGACATGTTCAGCACCCCCAGGTCTAGTCTGCCAGACATATACCACACATGAAAGAAAATAGAATTACAGTTGATCCTTGAACAATGTGGAGGTTAGGAGTGCCAATCTCCCCCTTTAGTGGAAAGTCCATTACATAACTTTTAACTCTCAAAACTTAACTACTTGGGAGACTTGGGATTGCAATTTGGGCAACAGCAGAACTTCTCTCAGCTTCCCAAATTCACCACATTCTTTCTCATCTCTAGGCCGTCTCTCAGTATCTACAGATGCTCAAGTCCCTTATATAAAATGGTGTAGAACAGTGCATATAGTTGATCCCAACATTGGATCAAAAATACTGTCTTCAATCCACGATTGGTGTAATGTGAGGATGTGAAAGCTGGGATATGGAGGGCTGACTGCATATTTAGTGAAAAAACTCCAAGCCTGCACAGTTCAAACCTGAGTTGTTTGAGGGCCCACTATGCACAGGTCAGCTTTCTTGGGGATGTTATCAGTGGAGTAATCAGGCCATTTAAGCAAAAGGAGAATGGAACACTGATTTCCATACCAGCTGCGTAGGATAGGCTGGAAGGACAGCCATGCTTGGAGAAAGACTGTTGTGAGTGGCGTCATCAGGGAGAGCCTCTCTCGCCTGTGTTGGAACTGGGGCTGCTTCTCATGTTTATTGAGCAGCTACTAGTTCTGGGTCTTGAGGTGCTACAGTAGACAAAAGCCAGTGGCTCAGCCCTCATGGAGCTGACCCTGTATAACCCTGACACGTTAACAAGCAATCGCCATGCCACGGGGCAGGTGTCACAATGAGGGAGCTGGAGAGAGATGTGGACCCCGAGAGGAGGGACATCAGATGTAAACTCTGAGTGGGGAGAACATCAGGGAAGACTTCCTGGAGGAAGTAACCTCTAAACTGAAACCTGAAGGAAGGATATTTAAGCAGGAGGAGAGAGGAAGAGTATGCCAGGCAGAGGGAATGCATGTGTGAGAAGGACTGGAGATGAGAAAGAATGTGGTGAATTTGGGAAGCTGAGAGAAGTTCTGCTGTTGCCCAAATTGCAATCCTAAGTCTCCCTGAAGGGTTTAATGTGATTTGTGTGGTAGGGTTACAAAATGCACAAGGGCCCCCAGGATGAAAGATTTTGACTATGGAATGAAAGGTCATCATGATGGGACAGGAAATACTTGTGGTCCCACCTTCACTCACGGCCCTCACTTCACCCTTCTGTTGTGTGCCTGTCTCCAAGTGCTGTGATTTGGGCTTTCATGCCAGCCTGGCCCGCACCTTCCGGACCTACCTCTCAGCCGAGTACAACCTGGAGACCTCTCGCCACGAGGGGCTGGATGTTATTGAGAATGCGGTGGACAACCTGGATTCCAGAAGTGACAAGCACACGGTCATGGACATGTACAACCAGGTCTTCTGTCCTCCACTCAAGTTTGAGTTCCAGCCGCACATGGGGGATGAGGTAGGTTCCTCCCAGGAGCCCATGCTTGAGACTGCTTCCATCTGTTCCCCCACGTGCTCCCAGTACATTGGTGGGAGGGGACCATCAGCCCCCATTCCACATGCAGCATGTTTATCTCAGAGGCCTGGGGTCAAGTTCTTGGTTCAAGGGCTTTCCCAGCTAAGGAGTTTACCACTAATACCTTAACCTTACTGGCTCAAGTTCCCCACCCGCAGAATTGCAGGACCTTAGTGCTCCTTAAAATCCCTCCCAGTTACTGTAGAATATCTCACGTTCCTCCCTTGGATCACTGGAGTCTGGGCCTCATCACAGCCACTCTGGCTAATGTCCTCTGCCTGCCCTCCAATACAGGAGGCACACCACCAACTGAGTTTTCTTCAGTGCTTGTGCTGCTCGGATTCTTGCTATATTCTGGGGTGGGAGGGAGGGTAAGGCACTGGTCACTGGCCCCAAAGAAGCCCTCTGGTTACCCAAGTTTCACAAAATCCTTTATGCAAACAGTTCCCCCCTCTGGGGCTCAGGCCTTAGTCTTGGAACTGAGAATAGCCACAAGACATTGTATCTGTCTCCCCATCTCCATTATCTCTACCCCAGGGATATGTGCACAGAACTTTGTCCTAGTGGCCCCTGTCCCTCCACCAAGACATATCCACCCGTGCACATGGGAGTTTGGAGGACCCAGACCAATAGTGCACAAGACCCTGCCAGCCTCTGGATCCTGTGAGAGCTCAGCTGGGCCATCCACTGAACTTGCTTGGTGGGAAGGGACAAGGAAGCTCCTTAGCAGAGAGCATTTGCTGGACCCTCCAGGTGGCTCTATCCACTTTCTTCATTTGCAAAGGAGAGTCCTGTGTAGGGTTTCCTGCAACACCTGCCCCATCCCTCATGTCCAACCCTTTTATCTGGGCCTTAAAAATTCTGACCTCGTGGTTACTACTAATGACTGGAAAGTTTGGGTTGCCTAGTTAGTGGTAAATAACTAATAAATAACAGAGCCCTGCTGTTCCTTGTGATCTCAGCTGAGTCACCCCAGGCAGCCCAGATTGCAGGTGGTGACAGAGCCCTGGATGGAATGGATGTAGGGAGAACAATATTTCTCTCCACATTTTCTTTCCTCCACCTCACCCAATCTACCTCCTGGGGAAGATGGTCCATGAGAGGCGATCACCTCACAGTTGCCTCTCTGAAGCATCTTCCTGCTGGGGAATAGGAGCACCTGGCTCATTGTTCCCCATTCATCATTCTTTCCATTGGCATCTCTTAGGTCAGTGGTCGGCAAACCGTGGCTTGCGAGCCACATGCGGCTCTTCGGCCCCTTGAGTGTGGCTCTTCCACAAAATACCACATGTGGGCGCGCACGTACAGTGTGATTGAAACTTCATGGCCCATGCGCAGAAGTCGGTATTTTGTGGAAGAGCCACACTCAAGGGGCCAAAGAGCCGCATGTGGCTCTCGAGCCGCAGTTTGCCAAGCCGAAGTTTGCCGACCACTGTCTTAGGTGATTGCTTTCTTTCCATAACTTCCTGCCTGGAAATTAACTAACTCGTCTCACTTTATGAGATTTGCCAGAGCTCTTAGTAAACCCTCAAGAGGGCACAGTGTAGAAGACCATAACTGAGAGGCCACACTTTGCAATTAGAGAGGGTGGCCCCTGGTTCCCATCAGGCGTTATCAAATATAAGCTGTGTTACCTTTGGCAGGTCATTTAAGCTCTCCAAGCCTGTTTCCTCAACATCTGATAGGGATATTAGTGACTAGTGACCCGGTGCATGGATTCGTGCACATTGAAAGGACATTAATTAGAAGAAATATTTTAATATCGCTATTTACCCTTTCTCTATAATAGAAGTGTCGACCAAATTCATGATTGACAATGACAGATTGAAACACGCATGCAATTGGCACCAGCAAGAGCTTTATATGTATCGCACATGCGCGAGTCAACTTAGCCTTTTATAGATATAGAGTAAACTTGCTTAATTAGACTTGCTTTCTGATGTAGCCAAACTTTTTCCAGCCCAGTGAAGCACCCCAACTTCTCATTCAGGTAATTGTCAGCAACACAGCAGGAAATATCAACACAAAGCAAATTATTATTGTAGATCATGCAGGGAGAACAAAGGGTAAAATATTTAACTGCAGCAGTGTTTGACTATATCCTGCACAATAAGAAAACCTGAAGTCATTTTCAAGGTCCACCATCTCTTACTTCTTTTCAGTCGGGTCAAGTTTCTAAGCTTTCTAAATCTCCATTTTCCGGCTAATGAAAAGAAAATAGGATTTCACTGAGTCTCCTATCTACCTACTCCAGGACTTCTGTGAGAATCAAATGAGATGAGGTTTCATAGACATTTGGTTAAAGTGTGAAATGTTTGCACCTGGCTATAAAGCAAGTCGTGTTCCTGGGCTGAAGAAACTGCAAGGAGGCTAGTTGTCTCTAGGGAGAGGAAGCCGAGTGTTGCTACGTGACATCATTACCTGGCGCCCACAGTGACCATTTCCAGGCTGGGCTGGGCTGTGGGCTGCATTTTGTGCCATGGGGTCTTGGCAGTGTCGGCAGCAATTTGGTGGGCTGTTGCTCTGGGGTGGTGAGGGGCCTGTGTCCCACTTGGGGGAAGCCGAGTGTTGCTTTGGCGGCACCAGGTCAATTTGTAAATGGCCAGTGCATGTCATGACTGCGTTGAGCATTGCCTCCTGGTGGTCAGTGCACGTCATAGTAACTGGTTGGATGGTCGGACACTTAGCATATTAGCCTTTTATATATATAGATAGCTCCTGCCCTAACTCCACACAGATGATGAGGACACTGGGTGACTGCTGGTGGGGGCTGTTATTCCTACAGGTGTGCCAGGTCAGTGCACAGCAGCCCGTCCAGACAGAATTACTCATGCGGTACCACCAGCTGCAGTCCAGACTGGCCACTCTCAAGATAGAGAATGAGGAGGTAAGTGAGCCCCTCTGCCCTATAAGGGATTTCCTTACAAAGGCCTAACTTGTCCTGGGGATTCCACATTCGCCAAAGAACACATAATAAATTAGGGTTCATCTGTAAGATAGACTTTTACACAACCATTAAAATCATGCACACCAAGAATCTTTCAGGGGGAATGCTCATGAGATGCTGAGTTAAAGAAACACAAAGAAAAAGTAAAATTTTATGTTCAGTATTATCATAACTCAGGTAGACTAGAGTATGTGCATATGTATTTGTGTGTATTCACAGGCATAGAAAAAAGGAAATACTTCCAAATGTTAATAGTGGTTATGTCTGGGTTGTGGATTATAGGTGATTTCTGTGTTGTTGTTGTTTTTGTGCTTTTCTCTATTTTCTGTAATGTTATTTATGTTATTTTTATCATAAGAAATAATAATAGGTATTTTAATTTTTACAATTAAATGAACAACCCCAGGCACATTAAATGTGTCATGGATTCTGAGCCCCAAGGAACTTCTATCTTACCACGATCAGCATATCTCCCATGCAGCTGGTGGCACAGGATTACCACTGGGAGGGTACAAATGGAAAGCCCAGCTGTGGTGGTTCCATTCTGATGTGGACTGATGAGGCTAGGTGGGAAAAATTCTATTCCAGCCTGGATGCCTTCATGCGGGGAGGATGTCAACCAACTGGTGGACACCAGGATGTGGGGAGAAGCGCATTCACAGCAGACAATGGGAGCCAGGGTCCTGTTTTCACATCTCAAGAGGGCTGTCCTGGCAGAGAGGGCGGTTCACTCTGTCTTCATAAAGGACAGAAGTAGGATGAACATGAATGTGAGACAGATTGTCACTCAGGATGATGACAAATCAAAGCAGTCCCTGGGGGGAAGTTTTGTGGAGACAAATTATATATTTGTTTTTCAAACCTGAGAAGAGAGAGGAGATGAACAGAGTGTTTTCTTTATTTACTCCTGCCTACATCTTTCCCCGAAGCATTTAAAAGTGTTTACATGGAACAGTGTATGGATAATAATGTTAATGGATTTAAATTGGAAATTAGGGCCACAGAAAGAATGAAGCGAGTGTTCCTCTGTAGAGGCTGTTCATGATCATGGAATTCTCGATTTGGAACCTGAGCTTCTGTCAGGCTATATTAGAAAGAACTGAGTTGTTAATGTATTCATTCAACAAGTTTTTATTGAACGAATACTTATTCAAGTATTTCTTAAGCATATATTATGTGCTAAACATTGTGCTAAAATGCAGAGTAAAGTGAGTGAACAAGACAACATAGTGCCTCCTCTCATGGAGTTTATATTCCACTGAGAAAAGAGAGATAGTAATAAAAATACAAAAGAAAACAAAGTAATAAATAATGAGTATGCAGATTATTAGACATAGATAGGCACTAAGTTAAAAATTGTAGTCAGGAAGCCTGATGTCACCAGGAGGTGACATTTAAGTTGAGACCTGAGTGACTTCTCCTGGAAATGTTTTTGGAATTACGCTCCATCAAATTATAGGGTTTGCTGTTTAAGCTCAAATCAGTGACGAGGTATTGTGAGGTGAGGGCTCGTGGGCCCTGCATGTGTAGCCTTCCAGGGGTCCCACTCAATCCCAAGGCAGAAATCAGGATCCTGGAGAAATGACTAGACTGTGGTGTCTCGGCATCTCTCTTCCTCAAGGTTCTCTCTTCTGTGAGGGTTTTGATAGGACTCAGGTGGCAGATAGCTGGAGAGTTCATTCATGGAGGATGGCTGGTCACCTTACCCAATCTCTGTCCCCACCCTGAAGAGAACCAAGAGTGTTTATAGTGTTGTCCTTCTTCCCATATAGTTTGGGGCTTATAACCAGGTAAAGAGAAACAAACCAAGAAACCTGAGTTCCTTTTTCGTCACAATATTCTCCAAGGCTCTCTCTGGCTGAAGCAATCTAATAAAATGACTTTAGATTGGTCAACCTGGATGCTCACCCCAGCCAGCTAACTGGCCTTACTTTGCACATCAATATAGTAATGGGAATGATCATCTTTGTCCTGCCTGCCTCCTAGAGGCTTTGTGTGGAAGAAATAAAGGAATGGTTAGGAAAAGGACTTTGAGGTGTCAAATGCATCCTGAGGCTGACGGTTTTCTGTCGACATGCTTCCCCAGGTGAGAAAAACCCTGGATGCCACCATGCAGACCTTACAGGACATGCTGACCGTGGAGGACTTTGATGTCTCTGACGCCTTCCAACACAGTCGGTCCACAGAGTCCGTAAAGTCGGCTGCCTCTGAGACCTACATGAGCAAGATCAACATTGCCAAAAGGAGAGCCAACCAGCAGGAGACAGAAATGTTTTATTTTACAGTAAGTGGACCCCGAACCCGCCGTCTGCTTACCCGCTGGCACTGACTTCTGAAGAGCAGCCCAAGCTAGTGGGAGCCAGTGAAACCACGTGGGTCAGTTAGACCGACAGTCCTTCCAACATGCTTCCCAAATTAAGTTGCCTGGCGTGGCTTTGTGAAATGCAGAAAGTGAATCACCAGTGATAGTATCGGCATTGATCTTGAATTGATGGTTATTGCAATGTTCCTGTTCTAGGAAAAAAACAAACTGTGTTCACTAGGGTGAGAGGAAAATGGTATGGAGCCAAGTGCAAGCTCCAAGTAACAACCCTGAAGTTTAGTGGATGGTTGTCGTGTTGCGTTGTCTTAAATTGGGGTGCAGGCTTTGAAAACAATGCCCTGCGTGATCCATGCAAATTGCTGGTGAGTTGCCAGGCCTTCATGTAAAATTCCAGATGGCGAACGTTCCACTTGGCCAGGGACAGAAGGAACACAGATAAGGGCCATCAAGGCTGTAGTTCAACCTGTGATTAGTGAACATAGAATTTGGGGTTTTAAGGGACCTTAAATCCTCCATCTGACGCTTTATCCCATTCAACCATACCTCTTCAAAAAGTCATCCAGCTCTGCTTGAACAGCCCCAAGTTGAAAAGCTCCCTCCTTCCCCTAGCAGCCCTTTTGTTTGGCCTGTGGCTGGCTATAGATATTATAATGTTTTCCTTTATCTCTGTTCGCTTCAAAAATCTGCCTCACTGGGATTTCTGGTCATTGATCTTGATTCTGTTCTCTGGGGTTATCCAGAGAGCGGCTAATTCTACAGGACAGTCTTTGGTGTGGTCGCAGGGAGTTGGGTTTTCATTTCCAGGTTAGACATATCTGGTTCTTTCAGTCCTGCCTCATAAGCTTTCCCTTTGAGATGCCTCAGTATCCTAGTGACTCTCTCCTGGACATGTTCCATTTGTCGAAGCCTCTTCCAAAATGTGGTCTGACCGGCACAGGCTAGAGCTAAACTCTCACCTCCTTCCACAGTAGGTGCTATGCTCCTTTTCATGTGTCCTAAGATCATATTCCTTTTTTTAAATAAAGCTAAGTTAATACCAATTAAATCTCTATTCCCTATGCACCAACATTAAACCAGGTTGCCCTCCTCCTGAAGGATGAGTAGGTGATGTCTTGGGTAGGTCTTATGTTTATCACATCAGTTAGAGATCTTCTTCATGGATTCAGTGCATGGCTCTAGACCAGCCGTGGGCATCCGGGATCCGGCCCGTTTGAAATGAATAAAACTAAAAAAAAAAAAGACCGTACCCTTTTATGTAATGACGTTTACTTTGAATTTATATTAGTTCACACAAACACTCCATCCATGCTTTTGTTCCGGCCCTCCGGTCCAGTTTAAGAACCCATTGTGGCCCTCGAGTCAAAAAGTTTGCCCACCCCTGCTCTAGACTGACAAGATCCTGATCCAGTTGTTCACCATATATGCTGTCTCTTCAGACCTTGTGTGGTCTTCAGACTCAGTGAGTGTTGCTTCCAAACCTTAATGTTTGTCAATAAAAAAAATAATGGATATGTCAGGGGCAAGGCCAAAGACAGAGTCGTTCAAAACAGGCCATTAGGCTAATATTGACCCCCCCCACCCCCCATTCAGCATCTTTAGATTGTGGTCATTTAACCAGTCATAAACCAACCCAATTCTAGCATTCACCTGTGACAGGCCTTGTCAGATCCCTTGTCAAAAACCCATCTCCCCAACCAACACTCTTCAACTTTGTTGTTCTCAAAAAAGAAGTCATAGCTAGTCTTAGTGAATCAGCCAATGCCAGTCTTTGAGGTTCACCACTTCCACTGGAGACCACCTATGTTTGCAGAGAAAATTTATGGGATACAAAGATAAGTGAGGAAAGGATATGAGTATTAATTCACTTGGGCAGCAGAAGCGAAGCAATTTGGGTGGCAGACGCAGAAAAGGGGGTCAGCCTGCTTGAAATTAAAAGATAGAATTCACCAACGTCCATGATTAAGGGTCATCAATGTTATATTTTAATGTTAGTGTTCAATTTATCATCCTGGTTGGCTAGTAGACCTCATGACTTGATGTTGTGACATTATTTGGGGTATTATTAAGGGTGTAATATTCCTTTTAATGCAGACATAAGTACAATTTGATGGCACTCTTTCCTTCATGGGTCACATGTGAAACCTGGGTGAAGGTTGGAAGAAGTGGGCAGAGTCCACAGGCCCCAGAACCCCAGGGTGTAAGTGACGAACCCACTAAGGCTTGAGTTATGTGTTTGGGATTAGAGCAGTGATGGCGAACCTATGACACGCGTGTCAGAGGTGACACGCAAACTCATTTTTTAAAAAATATATTTTATTGATTTTTTACAGAGAGGAAGGGAGAGAGATAGAGAGTTAGAAACATCGATGAGAGAGAAACATCAAATCAGCTGCCTCCTGCACATCTCCTACTGGGGATGTGCCCGCAACCCAGGTACATGCCCTTGACCGGAATCGAACCCGGGACCTTTCAGTCCGCAGGCCGACGCTCTATCCACTGAGCCAAACCAGTTTCGGCGCGAACTCATTTTTTTTGGTTGATTTTTCTTTGTTAAATGGCATTTAAATATATAAAGTAAATATCAAAAATATAAGTCTTTGTTTTACTATGGTTGCAAATACCAAAAAATTTCTATATGTGACACAGCACCAGAGTTAAGTTAGGGTTTTTCAAAATGCTGACACGCCGAGCTCAAAAGGTTCGCCGTCACTGGATTAGAGCTTCAACTAACAGGGGCAGTGAGGCATAGTAGAGAAAACACCTACTTATACCTCAGCTGTGCATTTTATGGTGAATTCTTAAACACGGGATAGAATTAGGGGGCATTGCCAACAGAAGCATTCAGAGAGAGCCTCTAGGTGAGCAGTTATTAAACTGAAGTGTGCACGTGAATCATATGGGAAGCTGTTCAAAACCTAGGTTCCCACACTACCACCTTTCCCGAGGTGGGGCCCTGGAAAGAGGAACATTTCTGGGCCTCTGTGGTGTTCTCCTTGGTGTAAAATGAGGGGTTAGACTCTCAGTATTCCCGAGCAGGAATCTGCATTTTGACCCTCTCTCCAGCCGGTGGGAAGCCATGGTCCTTACGCCACACTTGGAGATAACTGTGAGTCTACTCTCATTTTACCCTGAGGGGGCCATGGAGCCAGAAATCCTATATAATAAGAGAGAAATATGCATATTAGGCCAGGACATCATGACCAGCTCAGAACACGCTCCCAGCCCCAGCAGACACACACCACACACCAGGGCTGGGGGCAGGCTCCGAGCAGCCGCTGCGTGGCTCAGAGCCCGCCCCAGCCCTGAGGCCGTTCCCACTGAGGGTTCATGGGCAGGCATGCCGCACCGCCTGCCCTCAGAACAAGGCCCCCAGCGGATCCGAGGACCCGCCCAGAGGGGCGTGCTCTGAGCTGCCGCAGCCAGACTGTGGGAGCGGACCTAAGCTGTCAGTAGGACATCCCCTGAGGGCTCCCAGACTGTGAGAGGAAGCAGGCTGGGCTGAGGGACATCCACCCAGTGCATGAATTTCGTGCACCGGGCCTCTAGTATTCAATAATCTGCCCAAGGTCACACACTGACTGGCCACGGCTCTGAGCTCCAGTCTCCTCCTGGGTAGAATGGAAATTACAATGCTCCGCCCATTTGCCATCCAAGATTGTGGTGAGGACTGAATGGATGTATTTGACACTGTCGAGTGCTCTATAGATACAAGGGGGAATGACTCCGAAGGACCAAGGGACAAGTCCTAGGAGCTAAAAAGGACATGGCCAAGGTGAGGGGACACCACAACCTTCTACCAGCCCAGTCGGTGCAGAAACCCACCAAGGTGGGGACAGCGTGAGGTGACCCCAATCTTACCTATGCACATGTCAGTCCCTACCCCATAGCCTTGCCCCTACAACTGTTCACAGGAAGATGGTGGTGTTCCAGAAGCTCCTTTACAGGTCACATGGGGGCATCCTGAGCCTCCACAGCTCATTTCTCTGCTCCTCTGCACCCCTTTCTGACCTTCTAGCTAGGGCAATGGAATGGATTTTTTTGTGAGAAACCAGCTGGCAGATTCTGGGCAATCACAGGCATACTTGTACGTTCATACTCAAGGCTTTTGCAATTGCCATTCTATCTGCTTAGAACGCTCCTTCCCCGATGTACCTACATGGCCCTTTCCTCACCTCCTTCAGGCCTTGACTCACATGTCAGCTTTGCAGCCAGGTCTGCCCCAAGTTCCAATCCTCCATTCCTGCCTTATTTTCATTGATAGCTTTCTTCACCATCTGACCAATTGTGTGTTTTACTTACTTTTTTGGTTAGCTTATTGTTTCTCTCCTCACCCTGCTGTGCCAACTTCATCAAGTCAGGGATTTAGCTCAATCTCTCAGCACCTACTTTATACCAGGCATATAGTAGTTACTGAGTTGGGCAAGGACCACACCTGCAGTGGCTCAAGGTCCAGCAATGACATGCCCCAGCAGAGAGGGCTCCAGCCCTGTGTTTGGTGATGAGACACTGGGTGGGGGAGTCGAAGAAAGCTGGTACCTGTATGGAGGTGAGGCTGAGGCCCTGCTGAACTTGGGACAGGTAGGTACATTTCTAGTCTGGGTGGCCCCGTCCCTCCCCACTCCTCAGAGTGCATTGTACTTGGCCAGGCTTCTGAGCTAGAGGCAGCCTGGAGGTCCCAGGAGGCTTGAGCACATCACTTCCCTGTGCTAGCCTTACCTGTCTCATCTGTAAAAAGAAGAAAATAGATTCCCCAATGCAGTTGGGGTTATTCTACTAGGGCTGTCTCTGGGGCCTGCAGAGCCCTTTCTCCTCCAGAGCGGGGCCAGGTGAAGAAAGACCTGTTCCCAGCTCCTCTCTGACAGGTCCGGTAGAGCACTCGCGCTCAGCCGTGTGCCCCAGGGATGGTTCAGTGTTTGTTGATCTTGGCCCAGAAGCACAGTGGAGCTTTGATGACTGAAGAAGCCCTCTACTCAGAGCTCCCACAGTCCTCACCTGACAACGGCGCCTTTCACTGCTCCCATTCCCCTGAGCTTTCTTTGTGGTCCCAGAACTGACCTGAAATGCCTGCAGCCCTCGCGGGATTGGGCAGCTGGGGTCTGATGGGGAAGAGCAAAGGAGCAGCCGCAGAGGCCCCCTTCCCCCACACTGGGGTCCTTGGGGTGACACGCTCTCCCTTTGACCTCCCTGTCCCAGAGGGCCATTCCAGAGCAGAGATTGGAGACTTGGCCCTGTGATCTGTAATGTCCTTGTGCCTTGTGTCTTACAGAAATTTAAAGAATATGTGAACGGCAGTAACCTCATCACTAAGCTGCAGGCCAAGCACGACTTACTCAAGCAGACTCTGGGTGAAGGTGAGTCAGGTGGTGGAGGCCTGTGAGGAGGGGTTGTCTTCCCAACTGGGTTTTGTTGTGGCCCCTTGAGCTGTTTTAGCTTGAGACACAGCACACCTGGCAGAATGAGGCCTGGTACTGGTGCCACCTCCTAGGACTGGGTAAGCTGCTACAGTTTATAATCTATAGCCTTGGTACAAATGCTGAGAGGGGTCCAGTCTGACTGCAGAAATAGGGAGAAAACACAGGTTTTAATTTAGGTTATGTGGAGAGTCTAAGGCAAAGTGATAAAGGGCCCCCCAGTAGGAATTGGGGTGAGATTGCAGAGACATGGGAGGCTGCATAAATGCTTTTCAGCAGATAGCCTATGCCAGGAACTATTGGAGTGTCCAGGATTCTAGGTCCAAAAAAGAAAAATCCATATGAGTAAGGAATGGTTTGGTCCTTGAGGGGCCCAAAGACTAGGCTTAAAACTACCCAAAGTAGTTTATGACAGTTGGAATAAAACCCCGACTCTCATAACATACGAGGCCTTATGTCATTTGACCTCTGCCTGCTTCCCTGATCTCATCTGCCATTCTCTACTTCCTTACTGTGCTCTAGCCACTCAGCACTGTTCAAAACTCGTTGAGCTTTTTTTCTACCCCAGGGCCTTGGCATATGCTCTTCCCTGCCTAGAATGCCCTTACTCCAGATCTCAGTATGGGTGACTCCTTATCCTTCAGTTGACATCACAGATATCACGTCCTCAGTGAGGCTCTCCTTGCCACCTGACCTCAAGGAATCACCACCTCTGTCCCAACATTTTGTTTGATTTTCTTCATCCTACTCATCATCATGTGAAATCACTCTATTTATTATTTGTTCACTTGCTTATTATCTTTGGTCATGCCCCACCCCACTTCAGCAGTATCACATTTCAAATCGAAGTAGGGACTTCCTTGCTTATTTTGTCCACCACTTTATCCTCAGTGCCTAGAAGAGTGCCTGGCTCATAGCTGGCTCTCATATAGTCACTGAATGAATGTTGAATGGAAAGGTCACCAGAACATCAATTAGGACCCAAGGTCAAGGATGTTTTACAGCAAGTTCTGGTGGGCCTGGAACCTGACGTGAGGCTCAGCTGTGAGGAGAGGAAGCTGACTGGGCCCTGCCTGGAGCACCATTAGCCCCACACTCAGATATACTCTGTGTTCTGTTTGGAGAGGGCTGTTGGCAGAAGGGTGTGCTCCATCAAAAGGAAAGAAAACGTAGGCTCCAGGAAATAGGGAGCCAACACGAGAGAGATGAAGGGAATTTCCAAGGTGATGATGCCAGTACATCTGGAGACAGCTTGAAGCAGGCTGAGAAGTCACCGGGATTTGGGGGGAGGCAGGAAAAGCATTACAAAATGAGAGCTGTGCTGGGCAAGGGGCTGGCTCTCATTGGCTCAGTGGGTGTTTGCCATCCACAGCATGTCCTTGCCCTTTACTAGATCATTCTTTTATCCTTGTGGGTGCACATCCCAGTGTCTGTGCTCTGGCCACACAATCCCTCCCTTACACTGTCCCCTCAGCAGCTATCAGGTGGGCTGCTGGATCTCCAGATGCTTGGCAGTTGTGACCCCTATGCTTTAGAGCAGGGGTCCTCAAACTACGGCCCACAGGCCACATGCAAATACAAATATTGTATTTGTTCCCGTTTTGTTTTTTTACTTCAAAATAAGATATGTGCAGTGTGCATAGGAATTTGTTCATAGTTTTTTTTTAAACTATAGTCCGGCCCTCCAACGGTCTGAGGGACAGTGAACTGGCCCCCTGTTTAAAAAGTTTGAGGACCCCTGCTTTAGAGGAATGGATTTCCCAGCCCCAAGGTATTTATAATCTGGCTGGGAGACAAGTCATGATTTCATAAAAAACTAAATAACAATAAAATTGTCACACAGAAAGACTAGATGAATTGCCATGTGGACAGCACAAATTCTGAGGGCAGTGAGTCAGGAGAGGAAGGGATCACCATGGGCCCAGGAGAACTGGAAATGCTTCAAGGAAGGTGGACAGCTAGGGGTTGGAGGAATAACCAGGGCTTTAAAACTAACACCAATGGAAATTTTCCAATTAACTTTATTGATATGTAACATATATACAATAAGATGCACCCATTTTATGTATAGAAATCAGTGTTGATAGACATATACGCCCCGGTATAACCACTCACATCAAGATGCAGATCATCTCCATCACCCCAAAAGGTCCCTTGTGCCTCTTTGCAGTCATTCCCCAAGCTACCACTGCTTTTATTTCTATCAGCATAGATTAACTCAGTGTGTTCCAGCTGGTAAGGGCTGGGGAACTTTGGACGGGGGGGGAGGGGAGGGGCGATGATGGAAATGTTCTGAATTCTGATTTGGGTGGTGGTTATAAATGGGTGTATATATTTGTCAAAACTCACTGACTGAGGGGTAAGGGTGAGGAAGAATCAGTTGTTTCTTCGTTTCCTCCCACCCCTCTACATGCTGCCCATCCTGACATTTCAGTATTGGGCCAGGTGAGTGGGGCCATTGAGGAGTGTGGGAAACACAACAGCGGGAATGGAGTAAAAGAGGCAGAAAGTCCTAGAGAGGAGATGGGTGAGTGTGTGACATGTGAGTTGGTGGCTAAACTTTAATTTCAAGATCAGATGCCCTAGATTTAGAAAACTAGATATTCTTTGAAAAAATAAGATGAGAAAGTGCTTCTCTCCAGCTCCCCTATGAGTGATCTCAGATGCAACCTGAATGGCCTTCATGAAATACTACTACTAATAGTTTTTTTTGGAATAACTCCAAAAAAGAAAAATCCATATGGCCCCACTCACCTGGCCCAATACTGAAATGTCAGGATGGGCAGCATGTCAGGGGTGGGAGGAAAAGAAGAAACAACCGATTCTTCCTCACTGGTCTTGCAAGTTTATTGAGCCCTTCCAGCGGTTCTCAACCTGTGGGTCGCGACCATCGGAAAACACATATAGCATGTCAGATATTTACATTACGATTCATAACAGTAGCAACATTACAGTTATGAAGTAGCAACGAAAATAATGTCATGGTTGGGGGTCACCACAACATGAGGAACTGTATTAAAGGGTCGCGGCATTAGGAAGGCTGAGAACCACTGCTGGACACACCTTTCTCTGAGATGTGATTTACCAGTCGTTTCTCTGGGAGTTGAGCTGAACAGCAACAAGAAACTGCAGGAAAATGTAGCTTCCAAAGTATAAGGGCAGCAAAGAGCGAGCCATCTACAAGACTCACCACTGTCCTGTTCTCTAGTAAGCCAGCAGTGGGAAAGCCACTGTGTTCCTTTCGATAACTGAGATGGGGGCGTCTTAATAAATTTTTTGTTTTAGACTAGTTTTAGATTTACAGAAAAGTTGCAAAGGAAGTACAGAGTTCCCGTGTACTCCATGTCCTATTTCCCCTATTATTAACACCTTACATTAATACAGCATATTTGTCACAGTTAATGAATATTGGTACATTATTATTAACTAAAGTTAATAAATTACAGAATTAATGAAAAAACTGAAGCTGAGACCAAATCTTTTTGTTGTTGTTCAGTGCATGATAAAGGTGTATGTGGATTCTTAGGACATTGGGTGAAAGGGAGAATTTTCAACCAGGAGAATTTGCGCCAACTTAGACTGATAAAGTTCTTGCCCATTGGGCAAGGGGGAGGCATGGAATAAATAGGCCAAAGAGCTCAGAAGTTTGGCTAATTCATTCTTCCAAGTATCAACGGATGGTTCACCTTTACCTGAGTGCATTGACTTCCATTCAGTAGAAAGCCCTTCTAAGGGTGGGGCAAGGGGAGGGTTAAACCTGCATCAATGGCCTTCTTATTTCATAGGAGAGCTATTTTGCATGGGGAGGAACAATGTGGAAATTTTGAAAACAGGGGAGAAATATGGGGCCAAATGGAATACTTTGCCTGAAAAAATACGAGTGTGTGGGGTTTTTTAATGAAATAAAGTATCATGTTGAATGCTTTGCCAGCATTCTATTTTCATAAGTTAGGGAAAACACAAAGTCTTTTGGCTCACCTTCACTTAGAAGTGAATTTTTTAACACAATCAATTCCAGACACATAAATAAAAAAGCTCCTGTGTGCCCCACAAATTGGCATTCTTGTTATAAATAATATCACTGCCACATCTTGGGAACAAGAGCGCCCACCCTTATATGCCTTTGGTTGTTGCTATGTTGTTTTATTGGCCAGAGAATTCTTAGTTTATCATCTCTGAGTCTTAGATCTTTGACCTTTTTATTGCTCTGGGTAGTCTGTAATCTCCAGGGCTTACACACAAGATACAGATGGTTTTGCAATTTACTAGAGCCCCTCAAGGATGAATGGTGCATCGTCTATTAAAGGGAAGGGACATAACCTTTCAGGCCAAGATTTAATAGTGCATTACTGAGCATAGTGTCCACTAGGACCAGGCAGTCTGACCTTTTAGAAAATGACTGAGCCACTGAGTATAAAATATTTCTTTTTAATCTCAACAGGTCTCAGAAGGTAAAGGGCAGAGCATTTTTTATTTCTGATATTTGTTAGAAGTTGAGACAACAGACTCCAAAAGATGCTGGTGATGGGGTTCTTGAGAGCTGGGGTTGGTCTAAAGCTGAGGAGCGTGTAGTAGAGTCCTCACCAGAGGAAAGGCTGCCTGAGTGTGTGCTGGACTTCCACCATAGGACCTAACCCTCTGATCCCTGCCCTCCTTGCCCTGTCTGTCCCTTCATCTGTCCATCCTCTATGTACACAAGACAGACAAGGTTCCTGCCTTTATGGGGAAGAGAGACCTCAAAGAGTAAACAAACTATAAAGAATTATAACTGCGATAAGTGCCATGAATGGAAAATTCGGGCTGAGATCAGTTGGGGCGCGGGGAGGCAGCAATGGGGTGGCCTGCTTTAGGTTGGGTGATCAGAGAGGCCTCAAAGGGGAGGTGCTGGTTAAGCTGAGACCGAAAAGAGAAGGCATCAGTCACATGAAAAACTGGGGAAAGAGTGTTGGGACCGAGAGAACAGCACGTGCAAAGGTGTGGGGAATACATGGAAGAGGGGGAGCAGGAAACTCCCCCTGGGTCCCTTTTACAGCCAGCACAGGCCACTGGCTCAGCCCTTTCATGGGTTGCCATTGGCTCCTACTCAGGGTCTTGGGTCCACATGAAAATTCTCCTCAGCTTGGTGTCTGATAGGAAGTTGCCCCAGACCCCAGACACACAATCAAGATTGTTTTACCTGACTTTTCTATTATTCTGCTTTGGTCTGGCTCCAGTTCAACCAGCTTCAGTCACTCTTGTGACTGCTTGTGGCTTTGGTCAGGAATTAAGGAATTGTGTGTTGGTTTGTTCTCAGTTCTATTTTCAGATCTCTGTTACTCTCTTCCTCCCCTCACTTCTCTCCCTAGCCCCATTCAGCATTGTTTTCTGTAGGGAAAATAAATGCTCAGTTCTTTCTTTTAAAAAGTCCCTTTAGCCCTAACCGGTTTGGCTCAGTGGATAGAGCGTCGGCCTGTGGACTGAAGGGTTCCAGGTTCGATTCCAATCAAGGGCATGTACCTTGGTTGTGGGCACATCCCCAGAAGGGGGTGTGCAGGAGGCAGCTGATGGATGTTTCTCTCTCATCGATGTTTCTAACTCTCTATCCCTCTCCTTTCCTCTCTGCAAAAAAAATCAATAAAAGATTAAAACAAAAAAAAGTCCCTTCATGTGACTGCTGGATGGGGTTCTAGAGTCTAGAGCTGTGCTGCCCAGTATGGTGGCCACTACCAGTGGCTATTGAGCACATGAAGCGTGGCCAGTCTGAACTGAGATGTGTAAAGTGAACACTAGATTTCAAAGTTAGTGCCCCCCCACAAAGAATACAAAATATCTTATTAATTTTTATGTTGATCCATATTGAAATGAGAATGTTTTTTATATGTTAGATTAAATACAATATGTTATTAAAATTAATCTCACCTGTTTCTTTTTACTTTTTGTAATGTGGCTACTAGACATTATGGCTTGCATTATTTTCGCATTGGACAGCATGGTCTAGAGGTCTGCTCCTGCTCCATGAAAGGAATGAAGTACTGAATCATGCTGTATGGAAGGACTTCAAAAGCATTAGGCTCAGTGAAAGAAGCATAAGGCCACATCTCTCATGATTCCATTTGTAGGAAATGTCCAGTATAGGCAGATCTGAAGAGGCAGAGAGTAGATTAGTAGATTCATGGTTTCCAGGGGCTGGAGGTGAGAAGATGGAGAGACTGAATTGGCACAAGGGATCTTTCCCATGTGATGGAAATGCTCTAACATTGAATTGTAGGTGACGGCTGCACAACTTTGGATATTAACTAAAAATTATTGAGGTGTACATTTCAAGTGGGTGAATTTTATGATCTATAAATTATGCCTCAGTAAAACTGTTCAAAATTAAAAAAGGGGCAATCTAGGAGTCCAGGGGCATGTGGAATCTGGAGATAAGATTAGGGAGTCCTAGAGAGGGTGCACAGAAAGAGAAGAGAAGGAGGTGCGGGTATATGTTCTAGGAGCATTCCGTCATTTAGAGGTTGGAGGTGGGCAGATGAGGAGGTGACAACGAGAGAAACTGAGGAGCAGCTGGAGGGGAGGAAGGACACCTGAGATAAGGACCTGGGAAGTGTGGATCCATGAAAAGCAAGAGGAGAACGCTTCTAAGAGGAAGGGAGCAATGAGCTGAGTTGAATGGTGCTGAGAAGTCAGATAAGAGCGGAGAGGGCATTGGACTCAGCCATGCAGAGCCGGCTCCATGGAGTGGTGAGGGCAGAAGCCACTGCAGTTGGGGAGGGAGGAGGGACAGTGACCGACAGCTCCTTCGGGAAGTGCTGCTGTACAGAGAGCTGAGAAATGCAGACGTAGTTAGAGGGAAAGTTACAAAGCTAGCATATACATATCCAGAATATGTCTCTATGCGAATGGAATGATCTAGAAGGGAGGGAATTGGTAATGCTAGCCAGAGAGAGAGGAGGCACTTGCAGGAACAGGGCTCCTGAGAAAGGTAGAGGGAGGGGACCCAGAGCACAGGGAGAAGGCCTGAGCTTTGGCAGAAGCAGGGTGCTTCCTCAGGAGTACCAGCAAGTAGCTGGTGAGTGGGTGGGTGCAGGTAGGTGGGCAGGTCTCTTGGAGGCAACACCAAGACCCCATCTTACTGATTTTTCTTTTCCACGGAAGGAAGTGAGCAGGTCCTCAGCTGTGAATGAAGGATGGGAGGGGGTAGCAGGGTTGAGGAACAACAAGAAAGTATCTTGTGGTTGATACACTTCAGGGCCAGTGAATCTTTATTGATATAAAGCAATGCCAGCCACCGGCTTTAGCATGCAGAGGGAATCCCCCGGGAGTGCTTGTCAAAATGTAGATTCAGAGGTTCTTATCTCAGAGTCTGACTCAGGACGCCCATGCAAGGGCCCAGAAACCTGCCTTTTTAGCAAGGGTCCCGGGTGGGACTCTGATGCAGACAGCAGACTGTAGTTTGAGAATCACTGAAAAAAATGTATGTGAACAATAAAAATGAAATGTATGTGAACATAGCCCCACTGATAGGATGTGATAAGAGGCAGTTCTTTCCAACAGACCATACATACCTCAGGCATGGTTTTGTTCTTCATTTCACAAATAATCAAGGCCAGTTGTTTTTTGTTTTTAGGAAAAATAAATGAATGTTCTCTGGTTAAAAAACAACTAAACATCAATATATACCTTTCTTTCCAGGGGAAAGAGCAGACTGTGGCACAACCAGGTAAGAGCTGGGCATCTTGTTTTGTCTCACCTGCTACCCTGCGGTGGGAGGGGAGGAAGTGGGAGGAGTAGGAGAGGAGGGGAGGGGAAGGTGGAAAACAGACACTGCTGAGAGCTCAGATGGGCTGGGGTTTCTGAGAGCGGGCCAGCTCTTCCCCACTGTCTCGAGGGGGGTGTTTTTGTGGCTGTTCTGCTGGTTCTAGCCTTAGATGGGAGCCATGCCCCCGCCAGGCTGGTGATGGGGAGGGTGCTTTCAGAGCTGCAATGGGTCAGTGGGGTACCCCCCACTCCATGGCACTGGCCATCCAGTGGGACATTAATATGTATTGCAGTGGCTGAGGGCAACCGGTAGAGGCCAGAGGCTGTGCGGTAGCAGTTGACTTGTCTTCCTATCTGTTATATGGCTGTTGAGCAAACTGCCCAGCTGAGCTGGGGGGCCCAGCCTAGGGTCCCCATTTGCCAAGGCTTTGGATTTGGCTGGAATTGCACACATCTGGACATATGCATGCGCATACCCACATAAGCGTGCGCAGACGCCCCGAACCCTGGCTTTGGACCTCACCCGCACTTGGATGGGGAGTCCCTCGTTGGGAAAATAACAAACGGGCAACTCTGCTTTCTCTCCAGCTTGCTCAGCATTACCCTTTGCGCTTTCCCCTGAGCAGACCAGAGCCAGTGAACACTTTCCACTCAGCAGCTGGTAGCTGACGGCTGACTTCAGCGACTGGACCATTCCTCCACTTTCCGAGTGTAGATCCATAAGCAGGCCTGTCATTGCCCAGGTTGTTCTTAGAGCCCGTCTGTTCCGAGCTCCCAGCAGTAGCTCTCCTACTGCCCAACATGCATTCAGCCATGACCCAGAGGCCTGCCCTTTTCCATCAGGTGCCTCATCCTGGGCCCGGTGACCTGATCACATCCTTCCCCACAAATTCTTCCCTGTGACCCAGAATCCTGGAAAGCTGTTGTACTTGGCAGGAGGGAGGATGAACCCTGCACTCTCTCCTCATCTGGAAGGGAAATGGCTGGGAAGAGGCTTGGAAAGCCCTGGGGTTTTCAATTTGCCAGGCCCAGGATGGCGGAGACTGAGGGCGTCCAGAAGCTTAGCCTGTGCAACTGTCCCTCTGGGAACATCTGGATCACTCATTATGCCAGGCGAGGACCTCTGGCACACGGGTCAGCAGATGTGCAGGGTCACTTTCTAAGAAACTTTTAGAAACAGACCCTTTATTTATTTATGTACTTATTTATTTATTTATTCTGGCAAGAGGGTGTTATCTTAGTCCCAAAACAACAGAAGCCACATTTTACACCAAAATTTGCAAATGGTGAAACAGATGGGGGATGAATTGAACTGTTCCTCGCTTCCTGTGAATTCCTAGAATTTACGTGGGAGAAGATTGTTCCAGCAGGTTGCAGGAGAGAGCTGTCATCAGTCCTTGGCCAGGTCCCAAGATCTACCTCAGAGAAAAGTTGAGGGTTTTTTTTATTATTTTTTATTTGGGGGGGGGGAGAATTTTGTTTTTTAATAAAGCCCACCAAGATGTTGTCTTCCATACCCTCTTTGACCTAGCGCCTGGGAAACCCAAGTTAGGATTACTAGGCCTCCCACTTAGACACATTGCACTATATTGAAAACCCAACCATCTGCGCTCTGGTCCTTGGCCAAGGTCAAAGGCAAATTTGTTAGTAAACTAAAAGCTTCTCCTTACTCTCACAAATCATTTTTAACTTATTGTGCAATGAACTGTCAACTTGGTAATGGTTTTTAAGTTCATCTGAAAGGCCCTGGGTGAGATGTTTCTATACTGTGGCTCTCTGTATTTCCTATGGTTTCCTGCCCAAGGTCAGTGTCGCTGTGGATAATCATTTGAGCAGGTCCCCTCAGCCAAGTCACAGCTGGCCTTGTATAGATAGACCAGTTTTTGCACATGAGCTTTTTCTCATACTTAAGAACCTTATCTTATGATAGCCCAAATTCATAATAGCCCTGTAATTTAGGCTGAACAGACACAATAATGCATTTGAAAAGTGTATGGTAAATGTCAAAGCCAGATACAAGTGTAAGGTTTGATCATTCAAACTAAAGACTGTCTTCCCTAATCCAGGTTGATTTGCCCCTATGGTCTGGATTAGAGGTGAAATCACTGGAGGTTTCTGTCCAAACAGATACAACCCAATGAACACCCATGCACAGCCTCCAAGAACCTGACCACCATTGGACTGCAATATTTGGACATTGTATTGGGGAAGACTCTAATCACCATCCTTTCGGTCACAGTAATTTTGAGGCCAAGTGCTGTGTTGCCAACATATGTTAATTTTCATCTTGGTTGAAAGGCAGAAAGGGGACATTGGTCTCTGGTTTCTCTATCTTCCTCTCTGTGGCTTTCTCTGTTCCTGTTTTCCCTGCCTCTCTTTCTTTCTTTCCTTTTTGCTCTGCAACTGAGCAGCAGAAGAGATGGAAGGCTTAGGCTGCCCCACTTTCCTTGGCTGAGCTGCCCCCCTGCTCCCCACTTTGTGCCCCACCCAGCATTTCAGTAAGTCGGTATCTATTTGATGTCATGCAAAGTTGGGATAGCTACGTTTCCTTGTCAGATTCCAATCAGTGCACAGAGCACCACACAAAGAAAAAAATCCCTATGATTCCAACAGTCCTTTGTTTTCTTGGATTTTTATAGGAGAAATGGGGAAAAGTATCCTATATGCCCTTTATTCCATTTTATCAACTTAAAGGAAAAAAATCCTTAGGACTTATTTTAAGGAAATCCACCAGCTGGGCACCAGGATATTTTGATATGGGGTGTCCATTAAGAGTCTGCATTAAGAGTCTCTACTCTCGCTGGCCATGGGAGTTAATAGATAATTTAGTGCTACTGCTGAATGTTCTGTGATCAAATCAGTTTCCCAATTTTGCACTCACACATGAACCTGGAGTAGGAAGAGCTGACTTCTATTCATTCCCATGACCATGGGCAAGTTTCTTAATCTCTCATCAGCTAATTTGCCTTATGTCTAACGTGGTTTTAATAATTCTTACCTAACTCACAGCATTGTTGTGAGGGTATAATGCCATGTGAGATAAGGAAATGATCTGACAACGTTCAAAAACAGAAACCCAAAACACTATGAGGACAAGTTAGCAAAGTTGCTATCCTCAAGTTATTCCAAATTTCAAGACTTGAAACCTATGGCCCTGTGTCACATTTGTTGCCACTCTGTTTTGGAATTTGGAAATTAAAAAGCAGTTGTGTTGTAAGAAATACCAGCCCTATATACCCACGTCCTTAAAAATAAATAACTTACAAAACAGAAATGACATGGACTTAGCTAACCAAATTGACAAAAGATCCAAGATGGGCTTGAAATAATTTTGCCTGTTGTTTCTTTTCAAAATTTTTGTCTGTGCTGTTATTTTGGTTCCAATGTTTGGGTGGCATGATATTTGGATTCAGCTGTGTCTTTGCCCATGCATGTCCTGGAGCTAGCAGCATTTGCTCAATACTCAAACGCCGAGGAGAAGTTGGTTAGTGCTTCTAGGATGGCTGGGCTATTGAGGAGACATGCACAAGGCCAATGGGCAGAGGCAGCATGACTCTCGTTCACCTGGATTGGCTCCAAAGTCCGTACGATTTCTTGCCCATTTACAGAACTCAATCAAGACCTGGGGACCAGGTCTTGGCTCATCCTGTGTGGACATTACCTGTGCCTGGCTGGGTCCCTACTTGTTGTTTCCCAAATTGTGAACCAAGCCATTTGAAAATGAACTGCCTCTTTTGATGTGGGGGGGACTCCTCCTAACCTCAGAGCCCTTTGCCCTGGAAGGCTAGCAGCATGAGTCAGGCCAACTTGGGTGGCGAAGATGAGCAAATAAGCCAACCCAGGCATATGCATGGTGAGCAACTGGAAACTGGTCCAGTGTGTGTGGCTGTTTCACTGCTCCTGGTGAACTGTATTGCGGTTTCCCCTCCCTGTGGCCAAGAGTGGAGCACAGGGACTGGAGATCCTAAAGCAAAGCAAGACACTCTCAACCTGACCCTACGGGTCCTCCACTGGCAAGGGTTAATGGGAGGGGCGAGTCCTTGGCTGGAAATGAAGAAGTGCCCTAAGGCTCCATGACTGCCTCAGTGGGGAAAATCTTGGATTTGGAGCTAAAGAGACCTGGGTTTGGCGCCTGGCTCTACCAGTTCCCCTCTCTCGGTCTGTCTTTGCCTCTTTAAAAGGAGGCCATACGTACAGGATTGAGCTGACGTTAAGCGTGGTAATGGAGTTGAAAGCGCTGTAATCGAAGTGTACTTGACTGAAGGACAAGATATGATCATCATCCTGGGTCACCCCAGGACCCCAAAGAAACTGCAGCCTCCCTCTTGGCATCAGTTTCTTCATCTCTAAAATGAGAATGATAATTGCCTGGCTCTTGGATCAATGGAATAAAAATTAGTCAAGTGCATTTGAAATGCCAAGAGGCATTAGGAAGATCAGTGCCCTGGTATGTTGGGAGTTGAGACTTGGTGATACATTTAAGCCAAAATAATGAAAATTAACCCTTCCAATCATCTTTGGAAGTCTCTTGCTTTCTCGGGCTACAGATTCCATCTCTCCCCTGAGTCCCCCTCCATGTGGTCAGCTTTGCAGGATGACAGCCTCTGATGGAGGTTCAGTGGTTTCCCAGACGCTTACTATCTCCCGGCTATGATTTAGAATGCATTTGTGTTACACGATTGTTGCTCCCGCCTGACATCGGGGTAAATTAAGATCCCCTAAACATCCAAAGGCCTTCCGATGGAGCATTGGACGCCACTGTGCAGGGGTTCAGGGGCTTCCATCTGCATTTTGTGTTCTCCTCTGGTCGTGGGTTTTAAAAGCGTCTTTCCCAGTTGTATGTTTACATTGGTTACTTTCTTGATTTCTTTTATTCCGTTTTCCCCTAGGCCCCCCTGTCTTCCCCCTAAACCACAGAAAATGAGGAGACCTAGGCCTCTCTCAGTGTGTAACCATAAACTATTTAACGGCTGTATGGAAGCGTTCATTAAGGTACTTGTTGGGAGCCGCAGAGTCCGCGAATATGCCCAATGTAACGGCAGCCTTTCTCCACCTCCTCCCCTCGGCCAGCAGCCCTGCCCCCACCTACCAGAACTTTCCATCTGTGCCCTTGGCCAGGCCCTATGGCGAACTAGTTCCTCCCTGCAGCCTGCGCTTAGCTTCAGTGAGGGCTTCTAATCAGAGCTGCTTTTGTCTCTAACCAATGCCTTGCTGTGATTCTCAGGGGTAAGATCACGGTGAAGTCCATGTGGGGCTGAGATGCCAGCACGGTGGTCCCTGCCAGCCCCATGCCATTGCTCCGGGACTGTGGTCCTCACTAGCTGAAGGGACAGTCAGATAAACCCCTGCCTCGCTTCACACCCACGTCTCCCAAGAAGAGCTTGGTTGGAAGCAACACACAGAAAATCCCTGCGGGCAACAGTGTGATTTCATTTTTTTTAGTCAAGACTATACCAGCAAAGGAAACATAAAATCTGGGTGACAGAACACCCTCCTACCCAGTTTTGCTTCTTGTTAGGTGGTTTGGGAGAAGGGAGAAGAGCTGAGGCAGTTCCTTTAGAATTCCCGGTTAACCCTTTACACCTTAAACGAAAAACGAAAGCGGTTCCACTAGGTGAGTTTCGCTTGCCTTTCTTGCTTCTTGGACGCAAAGGGTGCAGGATTAAGCCACCTGATGGAATGGCTTGGGCAAATTCAGCTGGTGGTGGAGTTGAAAGGGCAGCAGGTAGGGAAAGACTGAGGAAGTGGAGAATCACTCTTAACATTAGCCAAGGGGAGCAAGAGAGAAGGTCCCCGCCAGTTACTTCAGAGCTCACCACCATCCAGTGGAGACACTTTCTGCAGAAAAGAAGGCTGGTGTCCAACAGGGGAAAGTACGGCGGTAGTGGAGGCTCCCCTGCTCTGCCCTCTATCCTCCATCCTCAAGGTGCACCCAGGACTTGCAGAGGGGTGGGGCGCAGGAGGGGTGGGGCGCAGGATGCCTTGATCTCAGGACTGAGTTCTGGGGAAAGGACAGTGGGGCACAAGTGAGACTGCCCAAGTGGGGAGTAGCAGGGGCTGCTTCAGGATACCTCAGAGGAGTGAGGCATGGAGTCCCAAAAGGTGGGGTGCTGTAGGGTGCCTCAGGAAAGAGGTCCTATTTGGAGGTGTCCCTGAGTGAGCACTCTGCCATCTCATAGGTCACAGGAGGATGAGGCTGTGTCAAAAGGGTCCTTCTTTCTTCAGCCTCCCTCCTCTGCCAAGACTGCACCCGGCATCTCTGAAAAGGCCCTCTCCGAAGCTGAGCAGGGCTGAAACGTGTGTAAACTCTTCTCCCTGGCCTCCAGGAGCTTAAAGTGTCAGTCAGGAGGATTTCCACACAGAAAGCTGTAAGTGTAAGGTGATTCAGATGAGCACTTGGTGAATTATCTCCATGGAAACAAGCTCTGTGCGAGCTCAGAGCAAGGAGAGCTGTGCTCTACAGGGCATGGAGGCTTGGGGAGGAGGTAGGGCTTTGAAAGGAGGGTAGGACAGAGGAGTCCCTGAAAGGAGAAACAGAATAACAAAGGCTCAGAGACAGGGATGCCTTCTCCACTTTGCTCAGCTCTTTGGAAATGGGCAATGAGTGAGGACACGGAAGGAGCTGGCGCTTACCTGGCAGGATTGGAAAGTTAAGTGTTCTGTCTGAAGAAATAGTCTCTCCGTAGGCAGCTCCTACATAATGTGAGGCCACCCGGTCATCCTACTTTATTCCTCCTGACAAACACATCAGAACTTCTCCAGCCACCTGAGAGTTTGCCCCTTGGAGGTGGCCACCCTGGGCAGCTACATTCTCAATCTAATGATATGGTATTGCTTCAGCTGGCCAGTCTTCCTCAGAGCCTGCAGCATGGCCTTTGTCAGTGGTGCCAAACTTTGCGTTAGGATGGACACCCTGGTCTTTCAAAGCTCGGCTTTGCAATGCCACTGGAGGTACAAAATGGCAAGAGGCACATGCCAGGGTGGGCTCGTGGACTGGTTCTGAAAAGACCCCCCAAAGAGGGACACCCCAGAGCACTGATCCAGGACACAGCCTCCTCAGGGGACTATTTGACTGAAAAAGAAAGAGATGTGTTTAATGATTACATTTCTGTATAGTTACACTGTACTTATGCCACATACTGACAGTGCAGTTCAGCGAACTCCTGAGCACCTGCAGTGAGAGAGGCAGTGTGTAGACAAGCTTGCATGCAGCATGGTCTTACTCTCAAGGATTATTAACTTTCAGAGAATGAAAGGGCAGTGTAACATGGCCAATTCTTCACCTTCTGAATAGAATTTAACTCTCTCTTATGATTCACATGCTATCTGGAAGAACATTCTGCATGGACTAAGAACCCCGAGCTTTGAAATGCCAAACCTGTGAAAGGCTTTCCAATAGAATAACATCACAGGGACCCCATGATTACGATGGTTTGCAGGGTGGAAAATGTCCGGCCTGTGGCCGTATCATTTGGTCTGGCCCTGCCGAAGCAACTGCAGATGGGACTCGAAATTCAATAAATCTAGGAGCATAGATACTTTTTCATAGCAACATAATTTTTAAGTTGATAATTTCGTATGGCCCACAAATAATGTTATAAATATCCAAATGGCCCTTGGCAGAAAAAAGGTTCCCCAGGCCTGGTTTTGAGGGACAAGGAATCATCCCCAAGTTAAGAAGGACAGATAAATTTTGCTGGAGTTATATAATACATTTCTAGGGCCCTACCTTTTTGAATTGACCTTTTTCAGAATCCTTGATTTTTTTTCTCCTCTCAGATAGAAAGAAACCCATTTTTATTACAAAATTTGAAGCCTGGGAGGTCTGCCCCTGGGCAGAGGGGGAGTCCTCACCTTATATCTATAAAACCCTGTTTCTATAATTACCTGCCTCACAGTGTGTGATACTCTTAACACAAATGAGCTGAGAGACGTCATCTTTGCAGAGCACCGCCCGGCACCCAGTGAGCCATGTGGACATGTTGGCTGTTACCGTTGTCATTAGCTGTTAGGAGACTGCACACAGAGCCCCATCTGACCAGGCTGTTTGCTCAGTTCTGGGAGGCAGGTGGGTTTAGCTGATGTATAATTCCAGTTGTTGAGATGCCGGCAACTGGACAGATGACACCCGATACCCGATGCACATTCTCCAGTTTTTTAGTTTGGCTCCTCAGAAGCCTGGATGGGACACAGCACCTCCCCAGAGCCTGACTGCTGCACTTATGGGGGGAAAGAGCGTGCTCCCCTGAAAAGGGGCGGCTCAGTGGCCTTAGTGAAAGCACAGGCAAGACTGGGAAGGCATGCCCTCCCTCCCCCAGCCTCTCTCAGCTTTGGGTTCCCTGAGGTGTCCTCAGTGCTAGGGTGAGGGTGTAGGGCAGGAAGGGAACAAAGCCCCGTGGCTACCCAGGACAAGCTACCCAGGCTTTTTGGTAGGAAAGCACGGGAAGCTGTTGGAGTTTGGAATCAGGCAGAATCCTGTTGGGAGCCATCCAAAGGGCACGTGATACACATGATCTTAGTAAAATTCCCTTTTTCCCAGGAATGAGCTTTCCTGGGCTGAATTCCAGGGGCAGCGTTGCAGGTGTGTGGGCAGCTGGGCTCTTGCCCACTAGTGAATAATGAGCCCCTGTGTTGAGAAGCTAGGGATGGGATGAGGAAAGGGCTCAGTGCACGCTGTTCCTCCACTCTGACAAGGACTGAAAGCCCCTATGTCACCTGGTGTCCAAGACAGCAACGCTGAAAGGAACTCCCACGAGGCCCTGAGATGCAGGGAACCCCGCCCCACGCAGGCTGGCTGGCAGGCCCCCCGGACCTTTGCTGGCTGCCCTTGCATTTGGGCGTTCACGGACTCTGAAGGATCTGCTCACTCTAACTGGTCTTACTCCTGCATAATCTTTTCTTTTTCTCCTGCTCTGCTGCCTGTTTATTTTTTGTTATCAGAGGAAGAAGAAATGCTCGAACCAGGAACCAGGTACTTACTAGAAAGGTCCGGTAGCCCCCTTCAACTGGAGAAACCTGTCTGTAGTGCTGACGTTAGAACAGGGCCCGCCTTGCCTGTCACCAGTGGGTCTGTGCTGTTATTCCCTCCCTGAGCAGTCAGTCAAGGAAAGAGTTCCCAGGTGGGGTGCGGAGGAGCCACGAAAGCATCCGAATGCCCTTCACAAGAGCATATTGCAAATGCCTTACTGTTTCCTCACTGTCTGAGGAGGCTGGTCATTTAATATGACCCCTTTTAAAGAGAGTTTAAAAAATATTAAGTGCTCTTTCGTGACCTGAAATAGCAGAGAGGCCAACCAATCACAGAATTCAAAAGAAAATTACCCCTTGCCCAGCCCTTGGTGGCCATGGGCCAGTCTAGGAAGATGTAATTGAAAATACATTCACACCCCAGATGCCTATGTTTAGAATTGCATCTTAGTCAGCCTGTTTGACTAAAGTTGGCCACTCAGTGGTCAAGGGCTGACTTATTGTTTTTAGAACCTTTGTTTATAACACTGCTAAACAAGTATCTGTCTGGGTGTTTAGGTTGTAACATCCTGAGTGGAACTGGTCTTCCCTTCTCAGAGCTCAAAAGGCCCCTGGGTCCAGCCTGGCGTCTCCCATACTGCGTTCTTCTTAATCCCGGCATTAGGTACCGCAGTCCTGGGAGGAGGCCTTGGTCCTGCTTTCTCATCCCTGAGCCCTGGGAGAATAGCTTGAGTTGGGGCAAAGTGGAGTGGGCGGCAGAGAACCCTGCAAGAGCTGACTCCAGCCCCTCCACCCAGTGGGTTCCCCCCTTCCAGAGTGCCTATCAGGCCTCCTGGCCCTGATTCCTTCCCAGCGGAGTGAGAAGACAGAGCATTTCTCTAAAATTATCATAGCTATGCCTTTTTTTGCACTTAACTGAAGATTTTCTATTTTAACTGTTTGTGGAGCCTTTAGGATTAGCAATTCCTTGCTTGTTTTCCTACTAATCTGATGGTACTAATATTCTGGCTTGAGTTTATAATCTGTGTTTGCAATGTCTGTTCTCCCATGGTGGTTGCCAAGCCCAATAAAACTCACACATTTTTTTCTTAAGGATTCGGGACAAGCTATCCCACTGGTAGTTGAGAGCTGCATCCGATACATCAATTTATACGGTAAGCTCAATCATGGGGCAGTGTTTTCAGCTCTTTCCAGAGCAGGTGCTAGGCTTTCTCAAAGGAAATGGATACTAATTCATCTGGAAGACTTCCTGTCACTGCTCTGCTTCCGAGGGGAGACGCTCCGCCGAACAGCTGCCTTTCTGAGTGCTATCTTTTGAGCCTTGTGTGTCAGGGATAGAAAGACCCAGGAATGGGGAAGGTCAAGGGGGGCAAAAAAAAAGGAGATATATGTAATACTCTTTGTAATACTTTAAGCAATAAAACAAAAAAATTTTTTTAAAAAAAAGAAAGACCCAGGAACTAGGAAAACCGAGGAGCAGGGAGGGCATGGACTGGAGAACCATCTTAGCTCCTTCCTCACTCCCACCCGACCCCAGAGCTCTGTGCTTTGAGCACTGAATGTAGCTGGTGTCAGTCAGTTAATACTGCAAGTGTGTAGTAAGCTCCATGAAGGAAACACAGTGTCTGGGATTTGCTAACCACGGTATCCTTAGCACTTAACTCGTGCTTTCATCGATTTATTTATTCATTTCTCCAAAAATATTTTTTTCAGAGTGCATAGTAGGCACTGTTTGGACAATGGGAATATAGATACCAGCCAATATAACATAGCTTATATTACCAATTAGAAGGTCAAGGAAATAAACAAGCAGAGAAATAAACATTAATCTCAAGCAGCAATAATGCCTAAAAACTAATGAAGAGGGAATACAAATGACTGGAGCAGGGCAGGGCTGGTTTGGCTAAGGTGGTGAGGAGAGACCTCTCCCAGAGAGTAATTAAGACTCCAGGGCCCTTTAAGACTCCAGTGAGTAGAGGAAGCCAGCCATGCAGTCCAGATGGAGAGAAAGACAAGTGTAAAGGCCTAATATGGGACGAAGGCCAATGTGACTGGACAAGTGGGCCAGTGACATAGGGGGTAGAAAGTCAGTATTGGTTAACAAAAGAAATAAACAAGCGTCTGTCGAGCAAATGCTTTGTACAAACCAAACTTTGACAAAAGCCTACCTTTTAAGAGTAAACTCTTTCCTAAATTATAATGTGGAGAGTTGTCTTATATAGGAAAACTGAATCCAGGAAAAGGATCAGAGTATCCTCCATTAATTCCCATTTAAAAGGAGGGAGGTCTTTCAATTCCCTCAACCCTATGGGTTGCTGTATGTCATTACTGTTAGGGCCGGTATTAGGGCAGTGATGGCGAACCTATGACACGCGTGTCAGAGGTGACACGTGAACTCATTTTTTTGGTTGATTTTTCTCTGTTAAATGGCATTTAAATATATAAAATAAATATCAAAAATATAAGTCTTTGTTTTACTATTGTTGCAGATATCAAAAAATTTCTATATGTGACACGGCACCAGAGTTAAGTTAGGGTTTTTCAAAATGCTGACAGGCCGAGCTCAAAAGGTTCGCCATCATTGTATTAGGGTCTCCTGTGTTCTGGCCTTGTAGAAACGCTTGAGAAAAATGAGACTGTTTTTCTTTAATGATGTAATCTCTTCTAAATTTCTTGATACCAGGGCAGCATGTACTTTAAAATCTAGCTTTTCTTGAAGGAAGGAAATGTCTGTGTTAGGGGAGGGAGGGCTGAGGCAGTGGAGTTAATCCTTGTTCAAAATCTCTGTGGCTATTTCACTCAAATGGCATTTATAAACTCAGGCCAAGCTCCTTGGTGCCAATGCAACTGGTAAACTCAGTAGCCATGGCACCAACCAGTTATTTGCCTGAGCTGACTTATTGGTTAAATTGGAAGTTATTCATTGATCCAGTCTTGATAAAAATTTCTCGTGGCCTTTTCCTCCAAACCCAGACAAGAGACACAGACATATGAAGCAGGATGTGTCTGAGTATTCTGGTCAGCCACACTTCATTTCAAAGGTTATTTTGGGTTTCTACCAGGACACCTTCATTGGGGGAATGACTCTCTTACAAAGGATGGTGGGAGAAAGAGACAGCAGTGGGGTGAGTCATCAAAGTTCCCAGTGGTCTGATGAGATCAAGGCCTTATGGCATTTTTCTCTTTCTTTCTTTTTTGTTTATTTGTTTTTTTCTTATAGGACTCCAGCAGCAAGGGATCTTCCGAGTGCCAGGATCTCAGGTTGAAGTCAATGACATCAAAAATTCCTTTGAGAGAGGTAGGTGCAGAGTGACCATTTCAAGCTTGTGGCCAGGGGAAGCCAAGGTGGGTGTTAGCACATGTCTTAGAGCCAGTGGTGTGCAGTGACTTCACATTGGTAGCTTGAAATCAGCCATGGTGGGAGTATTTACACCACGGAAATTGGCAAACACAAAGATCTTTTATTTTTATTTTTCTCCTCCAACGAGCTAGCTGTTAAGCATTTACTAGCACACATGGGTGGCTTTTTCTGGTGGGCCATACAGTGGTTGCTGGGAAAGAGGGCCTTGTAAAGCTCTCTGGAATGATATGTGAGTCTGCAAAGGCTGCTGTGTTTTACAAACATTGGAAGAACATAGATAACACCGAGTGGCTTTTAGAATATCCTAATTCTTAATTTTCTATGTAGTGTTTTTGGCAAAACTACACATTGGGAGGAAGAGACTATACATTCCTCCCACCCTCAGTGAGGTTATCTACTTCTCACTTTGATTAATCAAGGATGTAAAGCTTATTAGAAATGAAGTGACTGTCACAATGGGAGCACATGTGGCTTGTTTGGTGTAACCTCCCTTGGCCTCAGATTCCTGATGGGGACAGATAGGTGGCCAGTGACAGTGTCCATGCAAAGTGAGGATTCGTTGGGTCAGGAGTTCAATTCTTAATCCACCTCTGCTTTTTACACTAGGTGCTTATCTCACATCCTAAATAATATCTTTGCCTCCAGTTCACCACCATTTTGGAAGAATAACATCTCCACAGTCTACTCCTCTTAACTCTCACTTACTGCCTTTTTCTCTGAGTGGTTCTGATATTAAGTTTGATCCGAGGCCCCCAATCTCAAACCCATTTCCCCACAATAGAGCACATCCCAACTTTTAAAAAAATCCTCACCTGAGGATATATTTATTGATTTTTAGAGAGAAAGGAAGAGGGAGAGAGAGAGAAACATTGATCTGTTGCCTCCCTTACACACCCCAAACAGGGATTGAACCCACAACCTTTTTGGTGTACAGGATGACGCTCCAACCAACTGAGCCACCCAATTTACAAAGCACTTTCTTACCCATTGTTCTAACAGCCTTGGGAGATGTACGGTTTATCCCCATTGGCTGTGCTCTGGACAGGCCTCCCCTGGGGTTCCGGCCCTAGAATTCTCCCTCCTGTGCACACTCATCCCCTCCCTAACTTCCCAGTTCCATCCTGAGGTCTAGCTCAGGGTGGAGAAAGCGTTCTGTCAGCTCCAGGTGGTCACCACCATAGCCTGCAGCACAGCCCTCTGAGGCCCTAGGCACTCTGACTTGGAGCCAGGGGATTCCACACCCCGGGAACAGCATGTACAGAGGCCACAAAGCAAGAGGTCTCCCCATCAGCATCCCTGATGGAAGTGTTATTCATCATTCCCTGAGCTTCTCTTGACCACACTGGACAGCACAGTCCAGAGCTTTGTTTCTTCATTTCCCCAACTCCTTAGCACCCCTGCTGCCCTGTGTTCATTGTAAATGAGTAGATATGGTCAGGAACCTTTGCTGGTCCCATCTTCCTGGGCTCATCCCATTATAGAGAATTCCTTGAATCTCATGGGTAAACTCACCGCATTTTCCTGCTTCCCCATGTCCTGTAAGTAACCTCACTGTACCAGGCAGCCAGGCCCTATCCCCACCCCAGAAGCACTGCCTTCATTCCTTCTTGGATGTGGTTTTTCTAAGCTTAACACCTTCTGTCACTTGCTTGGGTGCCTTGCAGGGGTGATGTGAAATTTATAAGGACTCTCTGCTCCTAACAAGCCTTAGATCACCCCAGGCAAAGCCCTGGAGGGCAGAGATCACCTGACCCAAATCTCTGCCGCAAAGAATACCTTCTGCTTTTCCTTTGCTATGCGGTTGGCTCCTTTCCCTCTCTTCACCATTCCCAAGTGAATCTCATTCTCTCGCCAGCCTGAGGCTACAGTGAAGCATGGCTAATTCCAGAAGAATCATTCCTGGTATGTCTCTTTTAAGAAAAATCCATTCCTGGCTTCTTTCGGCTGACTAGCCCAGATTTCTCACTTATTCTTTTCTCTTTCTTGACATTCACCAACCAACTGCCCTGGGTTAGGCTCCTCACCCAGCTGACCCTCAGGGGCACCCCACCCACCTCTCCTGAAAACCCACTGTGTTTCTCCCCCTGTCCTCCCACCCCCACTCCCAACAACAGCCAGGTGGCCTGAGCTTGCTCCGGGCTCAGCATTTCTTTTCTCACCCACTCTCCACAGCCCACATGCTCAAACGTGTGACAGGACTTTCTTTCCAAACCAGGACATTGTGTGTTTTTCCTTCCTTTCTTTTATTTTGTAAAATTTCAATCCCCGGCGTGTGCAGGGTGCCTGACCTTCACCCCTTGCTCAGAGAACTGGTCTTCCCTTCTCTGGAGCAGATGGTCTTGCCCACGTTTCCTGTATGGGGCGGTAGAAAGCACCACTCTCTTTTCCTTAATCTTCTGGACAGACATGCTTGGTTTACTATTTCTAAACCCATTTTCTTATTTTTCTCACACAAGTCAACCGGGGTTTTAGTTGAGGTTATTATTATTCTCCTCTTTATTGCTGTCAATAAATCTTAGACTCACTTCTCCAGTGTTAAGATCTTCCTGTCATCTTCTGACAAAATGAAGGAAAGAACATTAGGGAAAGACAGGACTGGGCAGCTGGGCCTGGGGGAGAGCTGAGGCTTGCTGTTGTCTCCCAGGCCAGTTCTCCATCTCTGTTTTCCCCACAAACCAATCCACATCCTCTTTATACATCAAGGTGAGGGGGCTGCCAGGTCTCTCCTGTGTGGAGGGGAAGGGACCCAGTG